AGTGTTGTTGGTGCCTTTAAAAAAAATTTGCATGTTTTGGAATGACTTAAATATGGAGGCTCGACATCCCAAACGTCGCGCCTCCCGCTGACGAAAGGACGTGTCTCGAGACCCGAAACGTCTTAACCTGACACACTAATAAAAGGGCGACACGTGGATTGAGAAACCAAAACGACACGACCCCTGAAATGATATGACTGTTTAATACTTAAATGACATGACCCTTCAGGGGGGCAAAAAGCAATAATAAAAATTAAATTAGTGGTTTGCTCGAGCCCCTCTCTCGACGACCTCGAGCAGGGGGCAAAATGTTGATGACCGCGCCACGATAGCTGATTAAGTGGCGCCACCTCTGCAACATAGGCACAACTGGCCAGTGCTGACCTGGCGTGCCCACGGTGGATTAGGTATTCTCGAGCTACCTATCCAATAACGGAACTCACTGGTTGAGGGAGGGGTCGCTACCCTTCCTCTATTGTGGACGCACCCCGCTCCAGTCAGATGGGCTCCTCCCCCCCCCCCCCCCCCCGGCTCGCTCGAGGGTGCTCTCTGAAAGAGCAACCTCAACTAACCTGTGTACACATTTCCCTTCTTGGCAAAGAAGACCTCAGGATAGAACTGGGATGGGAACCTGCGAGGTCATGAAAGCAGGACCTCGAAAGGGGCCTATCCCCACTGAAGCACGGGAATCTGAGGACATGTGGATAAGTGGCTGAGATCTAAGGGATCGCCTCAGTCCGAGGCCAGCATAAGGGGGAAATGATACCCGGTAACTAAGCTCGAGCGATGAAGGATAAGCAACGCATTAATTGCGAAAGACATTTGATAAGACCCGCATTAATTAGGGAGCGTCGTTACCTCCTTTGACCGGGGGGCAAAGCGCCACGACCCATCCATCAGTGTCGCATCCGTCAGACGAAGAGGCCATCAAACCTTTGGATAAGAGCGGGCTCAGCTAAAGGACTAAAAGGCATTGACCGAGGAGGTAAATGTTATAAATAGGGGGGTTAATCAGCCTTAAATGGATCAACCACCACATTAACACTTATCCTCTGACAAGCTCGAGTTTGCATGGTACCGAGGTCGGCCTTCCCTTTCTTAATCTCCATACCTAGAGAATCCCTTGTGTTGCTTGGATCTCCACTTGGATACTAATCTCAGATCTCTTGGCTTGCGTGGAACGATCTCCTCATCCTATTCACGAACTACCATCAACATTACCCTTTAACTTATGAATTGACCGATTTAAATAATAAAATTGTCATTTTAACTTTTTTTTTTTTAAAAAAAATTATTTAAATAAACAAAACTAACCCCTGTAGTTATATAGCAAAAGCAAAAATGGAAGTCACAGGAGGTTTTAGTTTTGGATGGCGTTCAAATCCAAACAGTGTCAGTAAGGGTATGAATGGAAATGAAAATGATGTCTTGAGATGGCCCATACTGTAAATAACTTATTTATATCCATACAAATTGTTTACAAAGAGATCTATCTATATTGGCCCAAATTAAACAAATAAAATGTAGAATTTTCTTTTTAAATTAATTTTCAAGAAACATGTATAGTCCTCTCACCTCTGTGATTGATTCTTTTAGCACAATTAAAAAAATAATAATTCTCCTTTAGACCAAGCATATCGCTTAGCTGGATATTGAGAGTTTAAGCCTATTTGCTTGAACTTCTGAAAAAACGAGTATAAATGTTGAAGATATTAAAAAAGAACTATTCAAGTTGACTCACTTGTTTTTAGTTTTTAGAATTTGAAATGTTGGAAGAGCTATATATATTCAACAAAATTTCATCAAATACTCTAGTTATATCCTTGTAAATGTGTTATATGACCTCCAATCATAAGATTGCTTAATTTGAAAACTCCCAATTCATTTATTTAAAATTTCAAAAATAAGAGAATTTTTTAAAAATAGATTTAGGTTAATTACACTTACACTTCTTGAGATTTGTAGTATTGATAACTAGATGAAAATTGACTAATCTTTAAATAATGATACCCCCTCATGTTTGGTAAAGTTAACAATGACACTCTTACCGTCTCTGACACAAGATAAATTGACCTTATTACTCTTTGATTTATGAATTAACTAATTTGAATAATGAAAATATTATTTATACTTTTTTGGACACACCTATCCAAGAAGAAGTCGATGGAGAAGCTATAGCCCAAGCAAGTTGTTGGACCACACGCTCTAAGCTTCAAAGTCATTCAAGCGGTGCACTTTGTACACGGCGAGTCAAGCTTGCACGTAGTGGTGGCGATTTACTATAGTTTGGGAAGTTTTGAGGAGACGAATCCAATGTTAGTGTTAAATGACGTAAATGGAAGCGATAAATTTGTTCACAAGGAACATGTTACATTGAATCCACAAGATGAGTGTTTTGACCCCACAAAACGAAAAGAGAATTCAGAGAAATCTGATATATTATTTTATAATTAAATGAATGATCTGTTCTGTAGTACATGTATTTATAAATAAAAACCCTAACAGCATAAAGGAAATCCTAAAAATGTAAGAAAACTAGCAGCGCAAGAAAATTGCTTAAAAAAAACTTGTTCTGAATATTCTTAAAAAATAAGGAAAGAAACCTAATTACTAAAAATTACTAAATACCAAAAAAGAAAGCAAATCAAATCCGTTTAGTCTTTTAAAGAAAATCCCGAAATATTCCAAAAATGAGAAAATGCTATTCTCGAGCCCTAAAGGATTGAATTTGGCCAAAAGACGCCTTACCTCGGCAATTTTGCTGCCGATCTATGCAAGTTGGGTTGCTTTGGATAAAACTGGGCTCTTTCCAGGTTCACTTCGGTATCAATCTAGAAAATCTATCAGTATGTCCGTTTGGTCCCCTAGCGGTCCAAACGGACTATAAAGATTTTAACAATCAGTTCTACATCACTGGAGAAGGCAATTAAGGTTCTAGATGTGCTAAGTTTGTTTGGGTATTGGCCTATTTTAGCATGGTGGCGGCGGCTATGTCATGGTAGGGTGCGGTGGTGTTTGGAGGTTGAGATAAGAGGGAGAACTGATAGAGGAAGAAGAGAGAAGAGAGACTAGTTTAATAATTATAGCAATGGTCATTTTGCTATTTTGATATTTTTTTTTTATTAAAATTGATTAAAATAATGGAGAATAATTTTGACTTTTCACACCATTTTAAGGGTTGCCCATTGCCCCCAATTTCTGACAAGAGTGTCATTATTTATTAATTGACTAATTTTCATTTGAGGACAAATTTAAAGGGTTTGAGTATAATAATTAACCCTATTTTATACTTTGTATAAAAGTCTAAGCTGTGAGATTTGGACACATATAGGTAAGAAGCCTATATATTCATGAAACATATAAGTGATCAAAAGATATTATTAGTTTCTCCACCCTTCCTAGTCGCAAATCAACATAATTAATTATAAAAGAGTGTTTGACTTTGACACCTAGTCGCGTGGGACTAGTGGGCCTGTTTTACGTTATAACAAATAAAATTATCTGAAGTATGAGATAGGAAGAGTCCCTCTCATTTGAATCTGACCTATTTTATTGACGGATGTATTTTTAATCGGATGAACATGCCAATCCGACTCACCCGATATCTACTGGGGTGAGCGGTGTTGCAGTGAATTTATATTTTCATGTGGTTAGGATTGGGCAAGAGGCCATGAGGGCCCACCTACGAAAATGGGGCTTATGGTCGAGCCCACTGGCATCCTTTCTAGGTCCAAATCTCAAGCAGAGCTTAAGTTTACAGGCTGTTGACCTCCCGGGCTTTGGGACAAAATATTGGGCTCAATATCAAAGGTTCAGTTCAGCCCATACGCTGCAGGCTGCAGCAAGTGATGATGAGTGAAACAGTTTTCACCAAATTAAAGAAAAAAAAAACTCTTCTCTCTTACCCCTTTTTTATCCCCCACGTCTCATTCAGCAAGTAGATATAGGTTGCCTATGCACCATTCAAGTTGATTGATTCTACTTATTCATAAAAATTATTCTCAATTAATTTGAATGGTATATTTTAATTGATTAAGCGTATCAATGACTTGATCTGTCCGACGCATTTTGTATCTACTCTTATCAATATGTGAATCTTTGTCAATCCCATCATTCAAAAAGACTAGCGATCCATGGAGTCCTTCATTTGTAACCACAAAAACTACCACAAATTTGTAGATTACAACTTACACCCTCAGTCCTCAATGGACATTTTAGTAAGCCAAAGGTTCCTTCAGTAAATTCCCATTTAACATAAAATAAATATTGTTATGGGCGGCTTGTGACCCATCTTCATAGGTGACTGCTAAATTGCCCAACTCTTATTTGTCTGAAACTAAAAAACCTAGGACCACATATCCTTCAACTTTTGCCTTTCGGACGCTCCATAATCCATAAACAATGAAGCAACTAACAATGCTGAGGTGGACACTTCCTTACTTTAAGGTTAAGATAAGATTAGGGCTTTTAGTGAAGTAAGGGTCGTATTAGCCTGATATGACAATGAGGCGTTTTATTATTCAAGGTACGCACTTTATTATTTTTTTTAAAAAAAAAAAAAAAAAAAAAAAACTAAAGACATATAATAACAAAGTTATCCAAAATCCAAGTTTAAGCTACATTTTCTTTTATGTGTCTTCCACTAACAGAATTAATAAATTGCCCCAATACATGTAAATTCCAATTATGAGGCCAATTAGTTAAGAAAAGCTCCAACAATGACTCAACACTCATTTTGTTTTGGAGAACTTGAATTCTCAACTTTTTACTTGGTGAGAAAGTACTATAATGTTTAAGCATGTTATTCAAACAAACATGTATTGATGATCCAAGGAAGCCCTAATGGGGGTATATCCGTAAATTACATAATCATTCTAAATGGAGGCCAGGAGGGTATCCTTGCAAATTTGAAGCGAATGAGGGCTATTTTTGGCAATGTTCAGCTATATAAACTGTCTGTAACTACCTCATTCCCCTGTTCAAAGCAGAGCAACCTGAAACTCTTCATAGAGTTGGGAGTATTGTCTGCTCAAAAAATATTATCCTAGCAAGGGAAAGAAAAGGTTACATAGAAATGAAGGGAAACAAGAACTCATCTCTTCTATTACTTCTTCTTTTTCTAGTCCTTGTCTTCATTACATTTTCTATTATTTCCGTCGAAGCAAAAAAGAATCACAGCAAGAAGAACAAAACTCATAAGCATCAGAAACAGAGGAATGGCAGCAGAAATAATGCTCCAGACAACGCAAATCCTCCAAGTCCAGCCCCAGCCACTCTTCCTCATTATGGCTCTTATCCGACCCACTCGAACATTTTCAATGTTTTGACATTTGGTGCTAAAGGTGATGGAGTTTCTGATGATTCAAAGGTAAAACACATTGACAAATTAATGTGTGTGTGTGTATAGAGAGAATTGTAGTCGATATTCCTAATCTATCACTATGTTAAACACACAGGCACTTCTTGCAGCATGGAAAGCTGCCTGCAAGGTACAAGGAGGTACCATACAAATTCCATCAGAAATCAATTTTCTGATCAAACCACTAACACTTGAAGGCCCATGTATGCCACACCTTGTTTTCCAGGTTTGTCTCTCTCCTTTTTTACTTTTCCAACTGACCTTAAAGTGTGCACTAAAATAAAGAAATAAGAAAGCAAAAGGCATATTCTCTGTCTGTTGAAGTTTTTTTCTAGAACTAATGTCAGTGAATTGGAAACAGATAGATGGGAGTCTCTCAGCTCCTCCAAAAGTGAATGCATGGTCCAAATCAAGTTTGTTTCAGTGGATAAACTTCAAATGGATTCACAATTTCACCATCCAAGGTTCTGGTACTGTTGATGGGCAAGGCTTTTATTGGTGGAGTTCTTCTCAATTTGATTACATTCAGGTTAGTTCCAAATATTGAAACTACAAACTTTTTTCAGACAAAAACCAAACACTTGGTGAAAGCATAGCGGCTAATCCTTTTCATTTTATTTGTTATGCAGAAGAGATCCAAACACATCCCATATATGAAACCAACTGTAAGATTTCTTCCACAATTTTATTTTTATTATTATTATTGTTTTTTTTTCACATTGCAGTATTTGTGGCTGGATTTTTGGAGAGAACAGAATACCAAATTTTATGTTCATAGATGATTCTATTATCTTGAAGTACAATTCAATTTTTTTTTTTTTCTTCCCTCTTGGTTACAGGCTTTGAGATTCTATGCCAGCTACAATGTGACGGTCCGTGACATAAGAATTATTAACAGTCCTCAGTGCCATCTTAAGTTTGACAACTCAGGAGGAGTGAAGATTAACAACATTACAATTTCTGCACCAGAGAACAGCCCAAACACGGACGGCATTCACCTGCAAAACACCCGAGATGTAGAAATCCAGCATTCCAACATTGGCTGTGGTAAGAATCTGAGGGATATAATGGTTAAATGCCTCTAAAGTGACCTTTTGGTTGTGACAGCTAGAAACAAGAGAAATATGGCAATACACTCACCATAGTATTCATATATTAATTTCTTAATTTGTGGGCTTTCTCAATCAACAGGTGATGACTGTGTCTCCATACAAACTGGTTGCTTTAATATTCATGTTCATCATATTAATTGTGGCCCTGGACATGGTATAAGGTAATAATATATTGAGATTTGAGACTATACAAAAAATATAAACATAATTAAATATAATGAGTTCGAAAAATAACATGCCTTTTGATGGTGATTAACTTAAATATATTTGTTACATTTTATGTATGATCCCAGTTTAGGAGGATTAGGGAAAGATAGAAGCGTTGCTTGCGTCTCTGATATCATAGCCGACAACATCTTTATGCAAAACACTGTATATGGAGTAAGGATCAAGACATGGCAGGTATATATCAAACTTGAAAATACCAAAACCTGAACATTCAATTTATTTATTTATTTATTATTCATTGAATTCCTAATTATATCCTAATTGTTCTGTCTTTTTTTTTTTTTTCGAATTTATTTTTGGTAGGGTGGTATTGGATCTGTCAAGAATGTATCATTTTCCAACATTCAAGTCTCTGATGTAAAGGTTCCAATCATGATTGATCAGTACTATTGTGACAAACGCTTTTGCAAGAACCAAACTGGAGCTGTAGCGATATCGGACATTAAGTATGATCAGATAATTGGGACATACTCAGTGCAGCCCATTCATCTTGCTTGCAGCAATGACATTCCATGCACCGGGGTTGATCTGTTCGATATTCAGTTGAAGCCCTCACCAGGTTATCGAGGATTTCATCAGTCTTTGTGTTGGAATTCTTATGGGAAATCACAAGCTCCTTTGGTTCCTTCAAGCATGGACTATTGCTTAAGAAGGGATGGTGGCTCAGTCAAAAGAGTAGCAAAATTACATGAAAATGTTTGTTACTAGTACATGAATTGTGTGGTTCTCTGTGTTTGTGTGTGAGCTCATATATATATTATATTATGTATATGCTTCCCTTCTACAACATTTTTACTGTTGGAAGGTGATGATTTGGTACAATGTATCAATATTGAACGAAAATTTCTGAATATTCAAGCTCATTTACTCTTAAACATTAATGACTGGAGGGAGTGGGGATAAAGTGGTTATGGCTTGAGATTGTACAGCCTTATGTGGGTAATGCTTTTTCAGAAGAGGCATAAAATAAAATTTCAAACTTAATATTTGTTAAAGAAGTAAAGGTAGATAACACATCAGAGATCCATTCATTCTGGTCTTTCATATGCTTTATTGATTATAAATGTCTATATGTAATATATACAATGCCACTATTGTGTAGGCAATCAACTATAGTGGCAAGTGTACTGTTAGTTAGCTCTACTTTCCCTAAAACAGAGATTATATTTTTCCCTGAAACAGACATTATATTAATCAACTGTAACAGCACTAATTAATGTTGCAATATGAAGAGAAGCTGGGTTCTTTCCCCCAATTTTGTTAGTATTATAACTGCAAATACAAAAGCCACAACGTATTCACAGTACATAAATTTACCATTCATCCAAACAGGGTCTGCTTGGTTTGTCTTTCAGAAAACAATTTTTAAGAACTTCAAAATTAGGAAACTATTTTCAGAGGATTATAAAAGACCATTATTGAAACATTCCTTTTTATAATTGAGTGTTCAGAAAATAGTTTTTAGAAAATTAAACCAAACAGAGTATTTTATTTTGTTTAATTTTTTATTTTTGATATTTGGTTGTCTAAATGACAAATTAAGAAAGGCCTAAGTGCCTCAATTGTATTTTTAAAATAAGTGTCCTCTTTGAAAAAGTCATGCAATGTACAAAAATAATGTCTTTCATAAATAATCTACAAATTTTGAAAAAATTACTAATTTAACAATGTGTCTTTAAACTATTAGAGGACTAGTTGTAAAGTTTAATAGAGATATGTTAATTGTATGTCTCATTAACAAGTATTTTTAAGCTGATGCTACTCATATATTATTATTATTATTTTATTGACAAGAAATTTATACATTCTGTTGTCTCTTTGGAGATTTGAACACTCATTTTTTTTCTTTAAGAGATAAAGGAGATAATATTAGGCTACACAGCTTTTGGTAAATCGTATATTATTTTTCTTTTTCCAAAGTGAACATTTATTTTGGAATGAAAGAAAAAGTATGACCCAAAATAGGAGAAGTTTGATTTTTCTGTTCTGATTAGGTCTAATATTTTTGCCACACCCAATCTATTTTATTTTTTTATTTCTATTCCGATAAGAAATTCACACAACCACTTCAGGCTTATGCAGCTTGTGTCAACCCCCATCTTCTATTTTGAAGAGGATTTAGAAAGTAGACTATACCATAGCCCTTGGTGGTTGATGCCTAATATATATATTTGCATTTGTTCTCATTGTCTCAATCAAATATTCTTTCACTTGAACCTTATTTCCCCTTTATTCCATGTCAAGCTTTGGTGAATGGTGGAAGCATGCGGTTTTATGTCACAAGTGCATGCTTGATGAGATGAAGACCCTTAGGCCATGCTTGCTTGAACAAAACACAGGAAGGTCAATTTAGCTAGGCAGGAGTGGGCATGGGGAGAAACTTTTTGTGGGCCCAAAATTCAAACTAGATTTGTGGGAAGCAAAAATTGAGGCTAAAGATAAAGGGGAAGTCGATCAAGAAGTTCCAATACTCATGAAACTAGGCATTGAATGTGAGATCGACTTTGCCTTTAGAACCAGCCAAATATGAAAATAAGAATGAAAATGATAGAAGAGGAAAACCGGCAATTGTTGATTTGAACATTTTAAAATGAGAGATATGTTCTTATCCATTATTAATTAAGAATTTTTATTGGACACTGCAATTATTACAAACTGATTTGATTTAAACATTTTGAAAAGAGAATCATGTTCTTATCCATTACTAATCAAGAATTTTTATTGGACACTGAATTATTACGAATTGATTTGATTTGAACATTTTGAAAAGAGAGACATGCCCTTATTCATCACTAATTAAGAATTCTTATTGGACAATGGAATTATTACGAACTGATTTGATTTGAAAATTTTGAACAGAGAGACGTGCCCTTATCCATCACTAACTAAGAATTTTTGTTGGACACTAATGATTATAATAGCGAAAAAAAAAAAAAAGCAAAACCTCAAACAAAAATCGAACTATTACTATTTGAAATAATATTTTTTAGAAGTTGTAATTAATATTTCTTTCCCAATAGAAGTCAGAATATTGAAAGGTATCATAGTATATATTCTTATCTAAGGGGACATTAATAAATTAAAGCACTTCATATCTACATAATGAGTAGAAGAATGAATATGCTGGTTATATTTAGTTTTTTTTTTTAAAATTTAACCCTCCCTCAAAATGTGAACATTCCAAAAATAAGATAAAAAATGGGGTCAAATGGAGGCTTCCAAGATCCAAGTTGAGAACAAAGGTAAGCTATAAATGAGGATACAAAAACCCTTAACAATGCAGTGATGTTATTCTTTGTTCCTACACTCCCACAATCTGTGTTGGTTAAGTTCGGTGGGATGTTTATGAAATTTATGGCGGTGGTGGAAGAGCCAAAGCGTGCACCGTCCCACAATATAAAACCTTTATTAATTTCAGCATTTCCACTTTTTGTCTCACATTCCATAACTTTCATCCAATCATTCAACCATATTCTTATTTTACAACTGATATATTTTAAATGTCACACCCATCTTCCTTTTTAAAATGTTCTCAGAAGTTGGGTTTTGATAATTAGCTAGCTCCTTGACCAAATTCATTTCCCTTCCCTCTTTATTTTCAACAATTCTTCTTCAACTCTGCAGGAGCCCTTTACATCTAGTTCATGCAGGCCACCCTGAATGCCCACGAATGAGGTAAAATTTTAAAAATTTAGAAAAATATTTGTAAAAAAAATTATTTTTAAATTACCACTCAAAAAGTTGTCAAAAAGAAATTTGAATCCTTTTATAGGTTGCTAATATAGTCAATAAACATGGATGTTTGACCCAGTCAAAAGTAGATATGCAATGTTATCACTCTCTCTAGCTCAACCATGCACAACGGCTGTGCTTAAAACGCTCCTTGTATATGTATAATTGTATATATATAACTATATAAGATGGATCCTGCTATAATATAGGCCTACCTCAAAAACCTACCCAAATCTTCAATTTGCTGTTGTTGTTGAAGAAAAACGGCTTCTTCAACAAATCAAAACGAGAAAATAACCCTACCGGCCTACGTACCCTAATAAGATCAGAAACCAAAGTGAGAAAAGAAAAATTGTACGAGAACCAAAATTAACATGTATTACACAACCCAATATTTCTCTTTGTCACTCCTGTTTCTGGCCATTAATGTCACCCTCTTCTTCTCCGGCTACGTACAAGCCGTCAAACCCTTACCCACCGGCACGAACCCCTTCTGCAATACGGCAGATTTCAAGCCACTGTGCAATAGAATGGTCCGGGGAGCCAAGACATTAGATGAAGCAACGGCGAACGCTATCAAGTCCACACTCGAGGTAGTAAAGGGTGCAAAGCCGAAGCTAAGGATTCTTGAACCGGCCGTGGCTAAACTGAAGCGACCGGTGACCAAAAAGGCGATGAAAGGGACTTGCCAGGAAAGCTTTAACAACGTTGTGAGCAACCTGGAGGGGGCTCTGAAGGACCTCAAGTCCGGGGACAAGTATTCGGTGAATGACAGGCTGTCCGCGGCCACTCTCGATGATTGCAACGATGCATTTGCCGAGTCTGGAAAGAAATCGCCTCTGGCCGGGTTCGGTGGGGATCTGCGAATGTATGTGAGCAACTGCTTGGCAGTCACACAGCAAAAATGAAGGGTATATATATATGCATGGCATGTTTTTGCTTGCTGCAGTTTGGTGTTAATTAGCATGTGGTCTGTGTATGTGATAGATTGAAAAAGGGGAGTTCCTTTGTTTGTAACTTGTATTGATGGGGTATCATACATGCCCACTGTGCACCACCCCTAGCTAATGCATGTGGAAGGTACGTTTGGTGCCTTTAGTTAAACTAATTTTTTCTCCAATTTTAATTTCAACACACTGTTTCATGCTGACGAACAAAATAAAAGTAATTTTTAAATTTTGTGAACGACGGTTTCTCCCATCTAGATATTCGAAATAGACCTGAAATGAGCATCCAACAGAGAGATGCTGGCTCAAGTGCTCCATATGTAATTTTACGTTAATTGGAAGCCTACATTTTGAAGGAAATTAAGCTAAAAAAATCCATATATAATCCCTAATTTTTTAATATATATAGTTCAATTCCCATTTTTACCCCTTTCAAAGACATGCAAAAAGTTCGCCTCTTCTATTTCCATTAGGCGCTGCAAATGTCCCTTCACTGAGTCCATTGCGTGTGGTTGGAATTGCTGTGTTTGTTGATGTTCCCGCCCATTGTTAGTTAGTTAGTTAGTTAGTTAGTTCCCGCCCATTGTTTGTTACTTAGTTAGTTAAAGACCATTCCATATTTGGGCCTAATTTCTTTTGTTTGCTGGACTTCAAATCCTTGTTAGCCCATATGGACCTCTGGTCTTTTTTTTTGTGTAGACATGAAGTTTGCACTTGTACATTTTTTATTTGTTTAATCTTGTTATACATTCTTATTTATTGATTTTTTTTAAAATTTTTTATATATCTATTGTAAACCAAGTTCCATCATATGCCCTATTATTCATAAATAAAAAATTTACTAGAAGGAAAAAATTAAAGACATAATAAATTTTTATTTTATTTTCGTTGCTTTTCTTTGTAGTGCAAGTAAAACTGAGTAGTGCACGCAACACTCTTTTTTTTTTTTTGGGTTAATGTGAAAGCAACACTGTTGATTCACCCTGTCAATTTTATTTTATTTTATTTTATTTTTTTCTGGTAAAGAAAAAGGTTAAGAACAGATCACGAAGCGACTTTATTTACCTACATCTTCCTTTTCGGACACCGAGGCCTACTCTCTTTCTACATGGGCCTCCAAACAAAGCCCACATGCTGCCATGGATGTATCACATCAATTAACACATATATAGTATATATTTTTAATTAATGAAATTAGGAGGTAGAACAAAAGATTTCTTTCTTTTTTTTCATCGGTGTATCAAATCAATTAACAATTTTTTATTTTTTATTTTTGGTATTAAATGAATTGACAAGCGTGAAAATATAAATTGAACCATGTGAAGAGTAGCTTTGTGCAAGATTAAAAAAAAAAAATTTAATTAATTACGTCTTTAATTTTTTCCTTCTAATATTGTGTTTAAACTAATTATCTTCTTATAAACTGATAGAATAATACACATGGCAGCTCTAAGAATAAAGCATGCAGTATCATAGGCTTGCATTAGCAAAAGATTAGAAGGGATTGCTTCAATGGTTGGACAAGTTTCTCTCCTAATTAAATACACACACACAAACAAAATACATATATTATATCTACTAAGAAAATCGGAGACTATCAAATACGTCATTGGGTGATACCCACTTATATATACTTATCTTAGTAGGAAGAAAAAAAATTAAATAAAAAATAATTTTTTTAAAAATAATTTTGTCTTTTTTTTCTTTGAATCTATAATATATATTCATAAAAATAAAAAATTGTGAAGAATTCATTCGTTACCGTTTCTTTCCCCCCAACCAACGGACGGAAATTCTTTTTTAGTCCTTTTCATCTTCCCTTCACCCATGTTTCTATTCTACTATCAATCATAGCATTAATGTATCTGAGTTATTACATCAAACAAAAAGCCCCTGAATTTACCCCATTTGTTTTTTGCTCGCGGGACCTATCTATCTAAAGGTAGTGTAGATTTTCAAAGATCCCTTTCGTTGTCCTCACACTTGCGTGTTGTGTGTATTTATTGAGTTTTAGATATGAAGTACGTGCTAGCTAGTTCACACCACAGAAATACCTAATACAGTATATTATAAAATTAAGATATTTAGAACTTACTCCTAGAAAAAAAAAAAAAAAAAAATCTTAAATATTAGTCAAATAGAGACATATATAAAAATTAAAGTTGGAAAACTCGGCAATCTTGGATCTATCAATAACTGTCACTAAAATAAACTTTTCTAATAATAGCCCCAAATAACTTTCTAACCTATAAAGAAGAGGAATTTACACAAATGACCAATCTCACCCCCTTTTAAACTCTACCGACACTAAGACCAAAAAATAAAAAAAAAAAGAAAAAGTTTCTAAAAATCAAGATTCTTGCGTAACCAAATATATCAATCAAACCGAATGTTTAACTTTGTCATGTTAAGAGAGTTTATCACAATTACAACAAAGATGTAACAAATTCAATAAGTGTAACACATATAATATTCTTAAAATAATAGTTTTATGCGTATTTAAAGTATTACATTAAATATTAGTGTCATCCATAAATATTAATGTTCTGCAAAATATAGTATAGAAATTTCTCTCATAAGATATATTTATGGTCTAACAAATTTTTATCTTTCATTTATTTATTTATGTTAGCTTATTCGTAAAGTGATTTTGAACTATATTGAATTGATACCTAAGTTTCTGTTTGTTAGCCTAAACAGTTGTACTAGTTCCAATTATATAGTACTTTAACTGGTTCTTTGCTGTTGGCCTTATTAGTTGAATTGAAAAATGTATTACTAGACTTCCGTAACCACATATATAAATCACTTTATTGGTCCCAAAATGGTGATTTCAACATGGCTGTCAATCAACCACACGTTTTTTTTGTTTTGGACGCTAAAATACAAAAATCATGCCAAAAAAAAAAAAAAAAAATCATGCGAAAATATCCCACAAAAAGTTAAAATAGCCAAGGTTACTTTCGATAATAACCTTCAAAACTAGGGGCATTTCATAACTAGCATTTTAAATATCAGGCCACCCGCTGTTCACGGACCCACAACTCCCATGCCTCGCACGTGACAAAGCTCAAATTCCCAACTTGGATCGAAACGTGGCAAAATGGAATGCCCACACGTGTCCCAACGTTCATGATAAAGCGCCAATTTCTCTTACGACGTTCTCCGCTCTCCGATTTCAGTGTCCGAGCGGCTACTTCAGTTGCTTCTCCTTGATTTTTTCTTACTACGTTCTCCACTCTCCGATTACAGTCTCTCTCTCTATATCTATATATCTATAACACGAATCAAGGTAGTCTCAACAATTCAATTAAATTTTATTAACAAATCCTATTAATTCAATCATCTTTCCTTACCACAGCATCTTCGATTGGCAAGGTTTTTGCTTTTTTTCTGTCCTTTTTTGGTACAAATTTTCAAATCTGTATCTCAATTGAAATATATATAAAATACAAATGGATATATGTATGTATCTATATGTAATTTGTATATACACTGATATTTTCATTTCTTGATTCAGATTCTGATCTCATTGACTGAGGAACATGAGCAATTCGATTGGCCATAACTTACTTCACCAGAGCTTGCTTTCACCGACGGTTCTAGAGCATCAAAGTAAAAGCAATTCTTTTTGTATTTTCACGGGAAACAATTTGTTTCAAGCTCAAGCAACTTCATCCATACGAAAGTCACCTTTATCAACCATATTCCGTGGTAATTGTTTGGATGTGCGGAAAATGAAGCCGCCGATGACAACGCATCGTGCGCTTTCTGTTTCTCCTCATGCTGTATTAACCACTGATCCGTCTTCTCAGGTATGTCTGAGCTATCAATTTATTTTCTTTCTCATGAGATTTACAGGCATTATCTATTAATTCGATAATTATTTAAACCTGTTTTGTGTTTTTATCTTCTTCTTTTTTTTTGGAAAATTCGGGGAATGTTTGAGGAGCAAGAAGCCAGACATTTATGATTTTATTTGAGACTGCTATTACAACTAAGAAGTAGAATGTACAAATATATTTAGGGACAAAATTTCTGGGCTACTACTACGAATATATGTTTACATTAATCATTGCGAGTATTTGTTATGTTATTCACTTTGTATGCTTAACATTATTGGAAAATTAGTGCCCTGCTTTTACCGGAGAACAAGGAGCACCAAATTGGCAGCTTGGATTTGGGATTGGAGAAAATTTAGTTCAAAGTTCTTACCAAATTTCCTCCAATCCCAAATCCAAAGCACCGATTCGGTGCTCCCAAACTCAACAAGAATGAACAGCTTTTGGCCATCATCAGCAATTATAGTTTTCCCAAAAGTACTCTCTCTGGAAAATAACCTCATTAACAATGTATCACATACATATAAATAAATAAATAAATAAAAGAGCATCCTTAAATCTTAACATCCTGTTCAACAATACAGCATGGCCCTTTCAGAGACAGGATGTCAACTTCATTTATGAAAAGGCCAAAAAAGAATGTAGGTTAAGGTGTTGCGAAGATTTGATGGTATATTATCTAAGGGAAATTATAGTCCTTGATGAATGATAGCGGCTAAAAGGATTTGTGTAGTTCATCCAAGTTTTAGGGTTTTAAAACTTCATTTAGTTTCACCTTGTTCCGAATGTCACACTCAATCTTACTTTAAAGAGAAAGGCGAAAGTGTTGAGTATATACCAACAGGCCAGTGGCCTAGCGGTACCAAGCCCCTACTTCTCAAAGAGAGGTCATGGGTTCGAGTCTCAGTGGATGCATGTGTGTGTGAGTACCAATAAGGAAAAAAAAAGAAAGTGTTGACTATATGTCGTTATCACTCATGAGATGCGATGTTCAAAAATTAGATAAACATGTTGAAATTTGAAGCTTAATCATTAACGAGGGCATGTAACCAAGTTATTGGCTATTTTTTCGGATAAGCAATATATTTGTTCCTTTTAGTACCTGTTTTTAATATCAAAACTAATTAAGTTTTATGTATCATTTTTTCCTAAAACAAAAATGTTTGGTCTACATACAGTCTTCTGAATTTTGTTCATAATTATATCTCAAAAGTTATTTTCTTAAGTCATAAAAAATGCTTGCTTCTGGCTTTGCTAACAACTACACACAAGGTTCCTCCCGAGCTCTGAAACATCGGTAAGGAATTGCACATCTTGAGCTTGAATTCATATGTACATGAGTTGATATGAGTATCTTGATTCTTGCACATATTGACTTTGAAATCATATATACATGATATGTTGTGCATTTGCTAAAATTGTGTATAATTGCGTGCGTGCTCTTATTTTGATTTGGATGTGTATTTATTATGACTATATCTTGCCTTGTTCCAGCTCGCAGGAAAGTTCAACCTTGATGGAGATATTGAATTGCAGGTATGTATAGCTTATTAGCTTAGGCATTTATTGTTGACTTCAGATACTTGGGATATGTTTTTATTAAGTTTCCAATGATTTGAGTAATTTGAAGCTTATTTTAAAAGGGAATCAAGTGCACTATATAGATTATATATTACCATGGGTTTGACTTATGCAACTGAACAGGTTGATGTTAGTGGTCCCATTCAAGGTTCTATGTCACAAGTTAATATCAAGGTCACAAATAGTAGTGACGCTTTAAATCTACACTGGGGTGGCATACGAAATATAAAAGAGTAAGCTTATTCGTACTTACAGTTGTTTCCATTAATCTCAAGTTTTCACCTTCACCGTTTCAAATCTCTTTTTTTTTCTTCATTATTTTACTTTTTTCAGGAAGTGGTTACTTCCTGCTCGTCGTCCAGATGGCACTAAAGTATATAAAAACAAAGCTCTTAGGACTCCTTTTGTAAAAGTAAGTTCCAGAAAACAATACAAAATCAATCTATGGAGTGTACCCCGTGATATTGAACAATAGGGGAACCTCCTTTTTACTCATCTAAGTAGAAATTAGAGGCTAAATTTTTATTCATCATGTTTTAGTCTGGCTCCAATTCTTTCCTGAAAATAGAGATCGATGATCCTGCAATACAAGCTATAGAGTTTCTAATATTTGATGAAGCCCAAGATAAATGGTAAATATTCATTTCATAAGAATTTATTAATTTTATAGCTTCAACTCAATCTATAGAACTGACTCTATATAATCCTGTTCCCTTCCCATTTTTTTCCTTATCGGTAGGTTCAAACATAATGGTGAGAACTTCCATGTCAAGTTACCGTTGAGAGAGAATTTGGTTCCAAATGTTTCAGTTCCTGAAGATCTCGTACAGATTCAGGCGTACTTGAGGTGGGAGAGGAAGGGTAAACAGATGTATACTCCTGAGCAAGAGAAGGCAAGTAACTGGTGCTTTTCTATTTTATGGATAGACTATTAATAGTCTTTATATTGCACGCCAATTATATTTTTCTGTTTCCTCCTATCAAAAGAAACAGTCATGCTGCAAACTCCTTTATTAGTGCTGCTGACAATTTTTGCCTCCATAATTTAAACGTCAAATGTGTTTGTCATATGCATTAAACTGATACAAAACAGTTTTATACTTATGTAGCAAGTGGACAATTTAACATTGAAATGCTGAGTGGCCTGTGCTAGTCATGATGTAAATTCAGGACCTTTTGCAAGGCACAATTTATAACTTGCTTTGTTCTATTTTGTACTGAATCTGGTGTGGCATCTCTGTTGTAGCTCAATAAATGTCATTTTCCATTGAACAATGTTATGTGACTTGTAGACCACTTGGGTATTTGTGGTTTTCTCCGTAACTTATAATGAATATGCTTACTTATTATAGGTGGAATATGAAGCAGCCCGGAGTGAGCTATTGGAGGAAATAGCTAGGGGCACTTCCATACAGGACCTTCGTGCAAAGTTAACAGACAAAAATTATGCAACTGAAAGTAAGGAGCCACTTCTTTCTGAAACAAAGAACAACATACCGGATGATCTTGTACAAATACAATCTTATATACGATGGGAAAGAGCAGGAAAACCAAACTATTCCCCTGATCAACAACTTGTAAGTCTCGAATCTCTATGCGCTCAATGTTCTTGATAATATTATATTATTTCCAGTTAGTATATTAAATACATGGGCCATTGTTTGGTGCAATGGTAAATGCTAGGCTAACAAGCTTGAGAATGTGAATTAAAGTTTGACGGCCACTTTTTGCAAAATAATGCTAAAGTTTAGGTTTATCTCGTCTTACCCTCCCAGCACCCAGCAGGACCTGCAATCTGTCAGTTGCACATAAACTGAGTTTGATTTTACTCTTTTGCATAATTAAACCTGTCATTGCTTCTGTGGAATTTTTATTGGAATTATGTTGTATTAATAGAGAGAATTTGAAGAAGCAAGAAAAGATTTGCAAATTGAACTAGAGAAGGGAACTTCTCTTGATGAGATACGGAAGAAGATCACCAAAGGAGAGGTACAAAGTAAGTTTCCAAAGCAAATCCAAAAAAAGATTAGTGAGGAAAGGATTCAGCGCAAAAAGAGGGACTTGATGGAGCTTCTCAATAAGTATCCTTCGGGATCTATGGAGCAAAAGATCTCAACCACACCGTCCACACCACAAGCCTTGTCTTCAATTGAGCTTTTTGCTGAGTCAAAGAAAGAACAAGAAGGTGGTTCTATTCTGAACAAGAAAATATACAGAATTGGTGCCGGGGAACTTCTGGTGAGGTCATGCCGTTCTATTGGTGTTCCTCCTTTGAAAGTTTTAGTTGCTAGGATAATTCTAAATTTTGGACTCTGTACATTTTCAAGGTACTTGTAATGAAGCCTGCTGGTAAGACAAAGGTTTGTTTGGCTACAGATCTCAAAGATCCTGTTACCCTTCATTGGGCTTTATCAAAAAATTCAGGAGAGTGGCTGGTAAGAATCAGAAGATGTTGGAATTTATTAAACATACCCATTATGTTATCTCTTGGTGCTGAACATTTTGAAGGAATGACATTATTTTCTACACACTGCTTGCACTGCCTTTCTGTTATAACTTGTAATTCTGAATGGACATTCTGCAGGCACCACCTCCAGATGTATTCCCCCCTGGTTCAGTTTCCTTAGACAAGGCCATTGAAACGCAATTTGCAAGCACTCCTGTTGATCCAGCGCAGAAGGTGTGCCAAGAGAAGAGAAATTTGATCTGATTTTATATGCTTGACCAGCATGAAACTGAAAGAACTAATACATTGCTGTTAGAATCATTTAAGAATAATTTATGATTACATTTGTGCATGGCAGTCTTATATTCTCAATTCAATTTTCAGGTCCAATCCTTAGAAATAGAGATTGAAGATGATAATTTTGTGGGGATGCCGTTTGTCCTTTTGTCTAGCGGAAACTGGATAAAGAATAATGGCTCAGACTTCTATGTTGAATTTAGCGTTGGATCTAAGCAGGTCCAAAAGGTTGCCCTCTCTATAATATTCTGAGTAGGATTTTTTGTTATTTATCTAGTTGTTTTCTTTTTCTTTTTCTTTTATTCTTTGTCATAGCACTTCACTTTCCAGATGCAATGACTATTTTCCTTTTTGATTAAAAGGATGCTGGTGATGGCAAAGGTACGGCAAAGGCCTTCTTGGATAAAATAGCAAAGATGGAAAGTGAGGCACAGAAGTCCTTCATGCATCGGTTAGTAATCTCCCATCTATCTCTACGGGAAAGGGCTTGCTTGGTTCAGTTTTCTGAAAACTGTTTTCTGAGAATTGAAAATCAGAAAACCGTATAAAATCTGTTTGGTTGACAATTTCCGAGTACTATTATCTGAAAACTCAATTAAAAAAAGTCATGTTTTTAGCGAACTGTCTTTTATAGTTATCTGAAAAGAGTTTTATGGGTGACAAACCAACTAGGTCTTTTTTTTTTTTGTCAAATGGCAAGACTGTACGGTATTTACTTTTCATGTTTTACTGTTACATGTAGTTTGGTAAATTTGGGTTGCATTCAGGATCTCAGTTTTTTTGGGAAATCTTATAGAATTTTAAAATTTATTTTTTAAAACTAAACAGTAATGGGAATAATTTAGTTTTTTAGGCATATATTTTACATGCAATATGTATTTGAACAAATCACAAATTATTAGGTTTGCATGCTAAAGAAGCAACTATAAAATTGTGATTATATAATTGACAGAAATAAAAGTTGGAGTTGAAGAAAGTTGGAGTAATAGCACTGCACGTGTAAAACATCCTAAACCTGACAGTCCTCTTTTACGTATTGGTGCTAGTGGTAACGGTCATATCCAAGATACAACCCAATCTACTCACAACAACATCCCTCTATGTGCACAAACTATGGTACAAGTCTATATATGTTTTCTTTGCCCCCAAAAGTCAAGCAAAAATGTACAAAATGAAGGTTCAAGAAAATTGTAGGAGGTGATCTTCCCAACAGAATAACAGAGAAGAGAAAGCTTTTATTAGAGTTGGTTGATATAATGTGTGGACTTTTAATTGCTCAGCATAGTGTTTGTATTTTGAAGTTCAATTGTTACAATTCTCAGCCATGGGCCATGTGAAAAAAGAAGCCCACAAGCCTGTGCGAACTACACGACATGGCCGGTCTACTTTGGCCAGGTGGGCATGTGTGTGGCCTGAAGTGCTAAAACTTGGGTCATCCAATGATGAAGCCCAAACAGGATAATCTGCTTGGCCGGCTGGGTGCGTTTGCATGTGTGTATGAAGTCCTAAAACTTGGGTCATACAATGATGAAGCCCAGGCAGTATAAGAAAGGTTTAAAACTATTCGTCTCCAACAGTTGTGTTGTATGTGCTGGATATAGTTTCTGGCACGGTAGAAAGTTTTGGTAAAAGAGTCTGTCAGCTTCAGTTGTGAGATTTTAACCTTTTATTGTAAAAATTGAATATGGCAGGGAATGAAAAGAATGAAAAATTGTTTAACTAAACCACCGATTCATTCTGTATATATAGATGTTTAATACAATGAATTTTGACAAATATTGACAGCTAACAAATCCCAAAATTATAGCTAACCAAACTAACGTACAAGTTACAATCTGTATTGCTGGTCTATTGCTGTAATCAAGCTTTCCAGATTTGATTTTACTGGTCTATTGTTGTAATGCCTTGATTGTCTCCAATATTTATGTTATACCTTTTCACATTTTCAAGTTCATTCAAAATTCCAGTGTCTTATTGTGTGCCTTGTCCTTTAAAAATAAGCTAGTTTATCTCTGACTTTAATTTTGGAGTTACCTCTTCATTTACTGATTGTTTCTTCCTCAAGCACTTCTTAGAATAAACAGATGATATGGCTCAACCACGGGTCTATATAATAAAATTCACTACAGGAGCAAAAATCACGAGGCTATTAGTATGGATTTGTGGTTGACTTTTAAAAATTCTACTCGCCTGGTTTTAGTACTGCAACAAAGGCATTATCTTTCAAATGGTATTTTGATGAAAACTTGTGCCTGTATGTCAACTTCCGGAAAGAAAGAAAAAAATTATATATATATATATATATATATATATATATATAATATGCACGATGTCATTGTTATCAAGGCTTAAAATGTAATTCCTGTTCTTTATATATACAGTCCATCTTACGATGAAATCCCTATTTTCACTCAATATTGTTGGTTTTATATTAGCTTTCATGTTTGGCTTCTGAAGTTTAATGTTTGGTTCATTGTTACGAAGTAATAAGTCAATACTTTCTTTTTCTTAGATTTAATATTGCAGCAGACTTGATCTATGAAGCCAGAGATGCTGGTGAATTGGGTCTTGCTGGAATTCTCGTGTGGATGAGGTTTATGGCTACAAGGCAGCTCATATGGAATAAAAACTACAACGTAAAGCCACGGTATAACTCTTATGAGATAATTGCCTCATGCATTTGAAGACTCGGTCATTCTTTTAACCTCCTACAACTTTCACATATTAATTTCTCTTTCGTTGGTGCTCACTGAATGGACTATTGAGCAGTTCTTGATTCTTAATTAGTCAAATTTGCTTGGACATCTTACTTTACAGTTGGGCGTGTTAATCACATGTGCTTTTGAAGTACTTTTAAACTTTATATTGGATTAAATATGGTAAAATTATGCATGGTCATTTTCTAAGAATCACTGTGCTTAATATGCGTCCATCGGTTATGCAGTGAGATTAGTAAAGCTCAGGATAGGCTTACAGACTTGCTCCAGCATGTTTATAGAAGTCATCCGCATTATCGGGAACTTCTGCGAATGATTATGTCTACTGTTGGTCGTGGAGGTGAAGGGGATGTTGGGCAGCGAATCCGAGACGAAATCCTGGTTATCCAGGTTGATATCTAAGATTGCTTGATTTTATTTTCCTTTGGGTATGAATAATTTTCAGTTATATGAATAGTTATTTGTTGATTGCGGAGAAATAATGATTGCATAGTTATTTGTTGATTGCAGAGAAATAATGATTGCAAGGGTGGAATGATGGAGGAATGGCATCAGAAGCTACATAATAACACTAGCCCTGATGATGTTGTGATCTGTCAGGTTTTGTGGAAGTAGATCTGACTGGACTTCTTTGGTTTACATTATTAGAATTTGTCTCACAGAATTTTCTTGCAGGCTCTGATTAATTATATCAAAAGTGACTTTGACATCAGTGTTTATTGGAAAACCCTGAATGAGAATGGAATAACAAAAGAACGCCTTCTAAGTTATGATCGTGGCATCCATTCTGAACCAAATTTCAGTAGGAATCAGAAGGATGCACTTTTGCATGACTTGGGAAGTTACATGAGAACACTGAAGGTTGGCTCGTAAACTTCTCTGGTCAATGTTGCTTTTTACCTAGTTTGTGTATGTATTTCTCTATGGAATGATAACTTCATTCTTTTTATTAGCCAAATCATGGTGAATATATTGACGCATGTTTGCAAATTTATAAATGTTCATGGATCTATGCATTAGTTTCTTACTGAAACTGAAGGATTGTAATTGAGTGCGTGAAACTATGGCATAATTTTTGTCCAGAAGCTATTTATGTGACAGTAAATATTTATGCATTAAATCCTGATCAAAATGAAATTATTTAGTGAGAGATATTCTTTTGAAAAAGAAAAAATGAAGTTCTGTTATCTGATCATCGAATATCTTATAGTATGAAAAAGAAAAAATGAAGTTCTGTTATCTGATCATCGAATATCTTATAGTATTTTGTGAATTTATTTTTCACTCCCATTACTTGTCTCATAATTTTGTTGCCATATCTGATGAGTTGACAACTTTAGTTTGATCGTAATCTACATGCAGGCAGTTCATTCAGGTGCAGATCTTGAGTCCGCTGCTTCAAATTGCATGGGATACAAAGCTGAGGTAATGCTTGTAAATGTGTTGTTCTGCAACATGTTTTTTTTTAATCATATGGTAATATTTCAGTTAGAATCTGTATGTGTGATTTAGGGTTTAAAGAAGATAAGAAGCGGAGAAGAAGAACAGAGAAGAAGAAGAGAAATTAAGGAACGTAATCTGATGGCTGTAGGGTTTCTACACCACCTCTTATATATATATATATATTGAGATGAGCAAATTACAACTATGACCCAAAGTAAACAAGTAAAGAACTAAACACTCTCTAACTCTTAATACTCCCCCTTAAGCTGGAGCATATAGATTAAACATGCCTAGCTTGAAACACAACCGCTGAAAGGCACCAAGAGCTAGTGGCTTAGTAAGAATATCACCCAACTGATCATCCGAGCAAATACAAGTTGTAACAATCTGTTTTTGCATCAGCAGATCACGAATAAAATGACCATCAACCTCTATATGCTTGGTATGCTCGTGAAAAGCATGATTGCTAGCAATAAAGATAGCTGCTTGATTATCACAATGCATTGGCATATGAGAAGGAATATCAATACCCATCTCTCAAAGAAGAGAGCGAACTCGTAACATTTCAGAAGCGGTGTGAGCCATAGTACGTTACTCAGCCTCAGCACTAGAACGAGCAACGAAGGTCTGCTTTTACTGTGTCAAGTAACAAGATTACCGCCAACAAACATGCAATAACGAGAGTTAGATCGCCTATCAGAACGATTGTCAGCCCAGTCCACATCACTAAAACCTGTCGCAGATAAGGAGGAAGAAGGCTTATACAATAGCCCACGTCCAGGTCCTTTAGATAACGTAAAATATGACAAACATCCTCAAAGTGAGGCTGACTTGGAGAATGCATATATTGACTAACCACTCCAAAAACATAAGTAATATCAGGATGAGTAACAGACTAATAGTCAAATAAATCAATTTCCCAACAAGGCAGCTGTATCATCCAATATTGGCAAATAACTCACCTTGCTCACCATCAAGTTTGACAGTAGAATCCATAGGAGTATCAAAAGGTCGAGCACCTAAGAGACCAGTCTCGGAAAGAAGATCAAGAACATATTTCTATTGAGACAGTGAGATGCCCTGATGAGAAAGAGCAACCTCAATCCCAAGGAAATAACGAAGGGCACCCAGGTCTTTAGTATGGAATTGTTGACCCAAATGTCGTTTCAACCATGCAATTCCTGTTGAATCACTCCCGGAGATGATAATATTATCAACATGGATGATCAGAACAATGGTGCTCGTAGAAGAATGACGAACAAACACAGAATGATCAGAACTAGAATGTTAAAAACCAAAGTCAATCACCGCAGTGCTAAATCTATCAAACTAGGCATGAGGAAACTGCTTCAAACCATATAGAGCCTTGCGCATGCGACAAACTAGGTGCTCATGACTAGCAGGCGGTTGATCCATGTAAACTTCCTCCTGTAGATCACCTATTTCTAAAGGTGTTAGCCAATTACAGAGGCGTCGTTTTGATGATCCTTCTACAATCTTCTGGAGTTAACTGAAGAAAAAGAGATGGATGTATTTTTTTGCTTCGGCGACTGGTGGAGGTCCTATTGAGAAAGGTTTTCGCCACTCTCAATGCTGTGCAGGTTTATCATCTTCATCTCTCTCTGATTCTTTACAGCCAAAAGGAAGTTCTGTCAGGTCTTCGTTTCGGGACATTAACAGAAATCACAGTGTTAGATGGTCTCAAAAAGAGAAGCAAAAGTGGATTCCTACTAATGCTCCAGGTATGCATTCAGTTTCACATCCTCAGAATCTTAATGATCCATCCTCTTTTTTTACCCCTTCTTGTACGATGAGGAGCGCCAGTGTTGTGCTGGATTCGGAGAAGAGGTGCGAATTGACTGTCACGAATAATGGAATTGTTTCTTCACATGGGTTGAATATGGAGGGACGGAGAGATAGTGAGTTTGGCATTTCTAAATAGATGATAATTGCAGATTGTGCTGTTAAGAAATTATCTGAAGGGGTTACAGTCTGTGTGGGCAGAGATTTGCATTTTTAGTTGTCCAATGAGGAGGCAGTAGCTTTGATCAAAGAGCTTCGATTAAATGTAGCCCTGAAAGGTCTTAATACAGGGGTTGAAGAGACTGATTCTGGTAGCTTCGCTGGAATGGGCCCTTTTGTTTCAGACACTGGAATGGGCCCTTTTGTTACAGACACTGATTCTTTTTATGAGAATGATAGGGAGGTGGATGAGGAGGTGCCTGATGATTTGGGTTCTATCCAACAGGTTTGCTCCAATGAGCTTACACCTTGGGTGGAGAATAGTTCTGAAATCCTACAGGAGGTACCATTGGCTACGGTGCGACCGGATGAACATATTGCTGATATGGGGAAAGATTGGGTAGTTGACAATATTGGAGTAACTAGTGAGCTTTTGGGAGTCTCTTCAGAAGGTAATGATGTTCAGACATATCTATCCTTCAAGCAATTGTAGAAGGGAGAGAGGTTGCAGTTACCAATGAGGTTATGAACACGAAGCCTTTATCGTCTTGGAAAGGAGTACATGAGATAAAGAATCTCATCTCTGAAGTCAACTACGAAGGGAAAGGAGGAGTGGCGAAGGAAAGGGGAAGAACCAGGAGCAGGAGTCTCAGGAAGGGTGGGGGGGAGATTATTTTATCTGGTTTACAATGAAGCTACGAATTATCTCATGGAATGTTCGCAGTCTCAATGATCCGAACAAGAGAAGGGTAGTGAAGGTAGCTTTAAGGAAGTGGGGTGCCCAGCTTGTTTGCTTACAAGAAACCAAGTTGGCATCCATTTCTGATAGAGTGGTTAAGAGCTTGTGGGGAGGAAGGTTTGTGGAATGAGAGGCTTTGGATGGTATAGGTTCCTCGGGTGGGATCCTAGTCATGTGGGATAGTAGATGGTTAACTCGAACGGAGGTCTGGATGGGGAGATTTTCTGCATCCTGTGTGTTTAAGTTGGAAGAGGACAACTTCAAATGGGTTTTTACTGGTGTCTATGGCCCGGTTGTTGATGATGAGCGACCTATCTTTTGGGAGGAGCTTCGCCATGTCCAAGGATTGTGGTCTCTCCCTTGGTGTTTGGGAGGAGATTACAATGCTGTTAGATCCTCGTCAGAGAGATCTACAGGGGGTAGAAGATCCCTGGAAATGGACCAATTTTCTGATTTTATTGATGAGCATCTTCTTATTGATCTACTAATGGAAGGTGCAGCCTTTACTTGGTCAAATGGTAGGGATCCAATCACTCTTTCAAGGCTGGACAGATTTTTAATTTCAGGGGATTGGGAAGAGAAATTCCTAGATGTTGTTCAGGCAGTGTTAGCAAGGGTTACCTTTGATCATGTTCCTTTGGTCTTAGATTGTGGTGGTTTATGTTCTCAAAGATCCCCGTTTAGATTTGAGAATATGTGGCTGTGAGCGGAAGATTTCCAAGGGAAAGTCAGATCTTGGTGGGAGGAAGTTACTGCTTCGGGATCGCCCAGCTTTATAATTACGAAGAAGTTAAGGGCTCTCAAATTTGTTCTTAAGCAGTGGAACAAGGATGTCTTTGGGAATCTGGAATGGAGAAAGAATAGAGTTCTTGCTGATTTTTCTGAGATTGATCGTCTTGAAGAGGCAGGAGGGGATGTGGAATTTTTACGTTCCAGAAGAGTCTCTTGTCAGGCGGATTTCGCTGAGATTGCAAGTATGGAGGAGATCTCGTGGCGACAAAAATCTCGGGTTATTTGGCTAAAGGAAGGTGATCGGAAAACAAAATTCTTCCACCGGCTTGCTAATGCTCATAGGAGGAGTAACCATATAAGAAGAATTCGGGTGGATGGTGAGGAGTTGTGGAGAGAGGAAGAGGTGCGTAATGGTATTGCCTCCTTTTATCAAAAGCTTTATATCGAGCCTTTAGTTTGGAGGCCCAAACTTGATGGTCTTCATTTTGAGGCTATCTCTGAGCTTGAAAGAGATAGGATTGAGAATCCTTTCACTGAAGAGGAAGTTCTTAAGGCTTTATCAAGTTGTAATGGGGACAAAGCTCCGGGACCTGATGGCTTTACCATGCGATTTTTGATGGAAAGTTGGGCAGTTGTAAGAAATGAGGTAATGAGTACTTTTCAAGAGTTTCATTTTTTTGGCGTCTTTGAGAAGTCGCTTAATGCTTCTTTCATTGCCCTTATCCCAAAGAAGGGAAGCACTTCAGATATAAAGGATTTCCGTCCAATCAGTTTGGTGGGCTGTATTTACAAACTTATTGCTAAGGTGCTTGCTTTAAGGATGAGGGAAGTTATGGATGGGATCATCTCGGATTCCCAGAATGCCTTTGTCGGCGGTAGGCAAATTCTTGATTCAGTTCTTATTGCTGGCGAATGTGTAGATTCCAGATTTTGGAGTGGTATTCCTGGAGTTTTATGCAAACTTGACATTGAGAAATCATATGATCATGTGAATTGGAATTTCCTACTCTATTTGTTACAAAGAATGGGGTTTGGAAGTAAATGGAGGAAGTGGATTGAGATTTGTCTTTCGTCTGTCAAGTTTTCAGTTCTTGTGAATGGTTCTCCCGCTGGTTTCTTTGGTTGCTCTCGGGGTATAAGACAAGGTGACCCTTTGTCCTCTTTCCTTTTTTTTGTTGTTATGGAGGGCTTAAGCAGACTTATGCGCAGGGCTGAAGACCTTGGTTTTATAAAAGGTTCAGGGTGGGCAGAGATTTAGACCATCAGATGGAGATTTCTCATTTACTCTTTGCTGATGATACCCTGATTTTATGTGATGCTGATGTGTCTCAACTTCGATACTTGAGGTGTATCTTGACTTGCTTTCAGGCAGTTTCCGGGCTTAAGGTCAATGTGGCTAAGAGTGAGCTTGTCCCAGTAGGGAATGTTCAGGACATTTCCTCTTTAGCTGCAGTCCTTGGATGCAGAGTGAGTTCTTTCCCTATTCCTTATTTGGGCTTACCCCTAGGGGTTTCTGTAAGGTTAGTGGGGAGTTGGGATTCCGTGATTGATAGGTATGCGAAGAGATTGGCAGGCTGGAAGAAGCAATACTTGTCAAAGGGGGGTAAAGTTACTCTTATCAAAAGTACGTTATCGAGCCTTCCCACTTATTTTCTTTCTATGTTCTAAATTCCTTGTTCCGTTGTAGATAGGATTGAAAACATTCAAAGGAATTTCCTATGGGGAGGAAAGGGCGATGAATTCAAGTACCACCTTGTCAAATGGGAGGACGTTTGTAAGCCTGTGAAATTGGGTGGACTTGGAATAAGACGTTTAGTTCCTTTCAATCAAGCTCTCTTGGGTAAATGGTTATGGAGATATGGGAGGGAAAGACATCGTCCATGGCGCAGGCTAGTATCTTGTCGATTTGGGGACGATCTTTGGTGTGGGGATCAGCCATTTTCTCGTACATTTCCTAGATTATTCTGTATTGCTGTTGATAAACACGCCTACGTAGTTGATTGTTATCGGCTTGATAGCAGTGGGATTACGTGGGATGTGCATTTTCGGTGCTCTCTTCAGGACTGGGAGATGGACGAGGTATGTGTTTTTCTGGATCTCTTGTATCGGCAGGAGGGCGTTGGTAGAGATAATGATGTTTTGATTTGGGTTCCTTCTTCCCACGGTCGTTTTGAAGTTAAATCCTTGTTCTTATGTTTGTCTAATTTTGTTAATCGAGAATTCCCATGGAAAACCATTTGGCGGTCTATGGCTCCAACTAGAATGGCTTTCTTTGTTTGGACTGCTATGAGGGGAAAGATTTTGACAGTTGATAACTTGAGAAAAAGGGGTAATTATATTGTTAATTGGTGTTGCATATGCAAGGATACTGAAGAGTCCGTTGATCACCTCCTTTTGCATTGCCCTCTAGCGACTGATTGTTGGAATCTTATTGTTGGGTTGTTTAGCATGTGTTGGGTTATGCCACAATCTACTAAGGAATTAATCCATGTTTGGAGAGGATGTCGGGTGAGAAGAGATGTCCGCGATTTCTGGATAATTGTACCTCATTGTGTATGGTGGTGCATCTGGAAGGAGAGAAATAGCAGAATGTTCGAAGGGAAAGAGTCGCCTACAGCAATGGTCAAACTTTACATTCTTCGCTCTCTTTTCAATTATGTGAAGAGAAGTTTTTGTTCTTCTTCGGATGATTTAATTACTTTCTTGGATTCTTTGTTAGTCCTGGTCCCACTCTTGTAATTGGGACGCGTTCCCCTTTTGAACGCCTTTTCTTATATTATTTTTATTTATCAAAAAAAAAAAATATCAAGTTGATATATAGGCCAATAACAACAGGCTGCCAGAGAAAGAAGAAGCTGGATAGAGCTTAAGACAAGCTATAGGAGAAAAAGTCTCCGAGTAATCAACTCCATAGGTTCGAGTGTACTCTTTGGCAACTAAACTTTGCCTTAAGACTCTCAACAGAACCATCAACATGATACTTGACAGTGAAATTCCAACGATACCTGATAGTTCGTTTCCCAGAAGGGAGAGCAGCAAGATCCCATGTGTAATTCTTGTGAAGATCACTTATTTCCTCATCCATTGCGTTTATCCATCCAGACGTACACAAAGCCTACTGATAAGATAAAGGATAAAGTAAGTGCAAAAGATTGCGAGGAAGAACCACGATCATAAAACACAAAATTAGCAATGGGATGTGTAGTATAAATACGTTTACCTAGACATAATGCAATTGGTAAACCAAGGCACGACCACTACCGTGAGAACTATGGCCACCACGAATAGTACCACGGCCCCCACTGCTAGAAACTAAGGCAGAAGATTCTGTAGAAGTGACAGTGGAGCTTTGTCCCAAAGAGGACCTCAATAATCGAGAATATGCATTGGCAGCCATAGGTAACTTCTCGCTAGCAAGAATCTTTAAAGCCATGAAGATCGGAGTTTAAACCAGATAGCAATGAAGTAATCATAAACTCTTCCCAGTGACACTTCTGTTGCTCCAAATCAGCAGTAAATGGTTGATGTTGCAATAACTGATCCTAAAAATTTTTAAGAGTGCTGTTGTATTTAGACAATGGATCTCCGGACTGCTTAGTAGTGAAAATCTGCTCATACAACTAATAAACCTGAGAAAACATTGCTCTGGTGCAAGAATGACTCTGCAAGAGATTCCCAGATCTTCTTAGAAGACTCACCAAATGCAACTGTAGTGACAAATACGGGGTTCTATATTATGCCATAGCCATCCCATAACAATAGAATCTTCACGCATTCAATCTTCGTATAGCTTAGACTTCATGTCAATGGAGGTGGGGGTGGGGGTGGGGGTGGGTTGGGTGGGGTCCTCAGTAAAGTATTTCAATTTTCTATGCCCACATGAGCAAACCTGTATGGCATGAGCCCAAGGAAGATAATTAACCCCATTCAGCTTTGTCGAAGTAATCGACTTAGGTATATCATTATCCTTGAGTGGTTGTAGTTTATCCTTAAAAAAAAAAAAAAAAAAATTCAAAACTAAGATCCAAGGACAGAAGCAGAAGTTGGTCAGCAAGTTCAGATGAATCTGGAACCAGGGAAGTGCAAATTCTGAAAGCCCAAGCAACCAAAGACAGTTGTAGAAGCAGAAAATTCCAGAAAAAGCACATCAAATCTTTGCACAGAGACAGCCTCAGCCGAACCCCCTATACTATGTTTGGTTGGAGGGAAGGATTGAGGAGGAATGTATGAGAGAGGTGATAAAATAAATTTTCCGTGTTTGGTTGGAGGGAAGGGAAAGGAGGGAGGAAGCATCCCTCCTTCCTTTGTATTTTTCTATCCGCACAAATTTGGGAGAAAGAAGAGAGAGAGAAAAAAGTAATAATTAACATAAATATGTATTTTCTAATTCTAACCTTCCTAAAAATTTGGAATCAATATAGAATTTTAGAATTTTAAATAACAAGGGTATATTAGTAAAAATTATATAAAAATCATCTTTCCCTTTCTTCCAACCAAACAAAAAAAATGTGTCATCCCATCCATCCTTTCTATTATCCATTCCATCCAACCAAACAAAAAGTGAGGGAAACACTTTCCCTTTCCTAAGGATACCTCATCCATCTTCTTTTGCATTGCCCCATGGCCAAGGATTGTTGGGATTTGATGCTTGGCTTGTTTGGGTTCCAATGGGTCATGCCTCACTCCGCCAGAGAGTTGGTCGAGGCTTGGAGAGAGTGTTTTGTGGGGGGCCATGTTCGTGATGCTTGGAAGGCTACTCCTCTTTGTGTGTGGTGGTGTATTTGGCTTGAGAGGAATATGAGATATTTTGAGGGGAAGGAGAGGCCTATTTCTTTTCTTAAGTTCTCTATTGTTTTCACTCTTTTTTGTTGGATCTCAAGTAGAGATTATAGATCTTTTGATGAAATAGTTGATTTTTTGGCCTCTTTGAAAGTGTAATGGCTGTTTTGGCCTGTTGTTGTTCCCTTGGGATGCGCTTCCCTTTTGAGCGCTTTTTATAAATTTCTTACTTATCATAAAAAAGGATACCTCATCCATCCGTTCCCCTCTACCGTCCATCCTTTTTTCCATCCCTCCAACCAGAGTACTAGAGCCAAAGAAATCAATCCAAATGCAACAAATCAGCCAACAAGCAGCAATCAAAGTATCTCCAAGTCAAAAGCACATCATATAGTATTGATCTTGACCAACATAAACAACTGAAAACCCCCCAGAAACCAGATCGAAATCAACAGGGTTGAAATCCAGAAATTCTTTAGGAAAATGAAAAAAAAAAAAAAAAACCTATACAGCTTCAAAAAGAGTAAAAAATAACACCATAAATCCCAGAAAATTCAGGCTATCCAGGCTGTATAATTCTTGACCAGTTGATGCTGACATCAGCATGTCGTCATTGTGACATCAGCGTTCTCGGTGGCTGATTTGTTGTAGGGTTTAAAGAAGAGAAGAAGAGGAAAATGAGAAGAGAAATTAAGATGGTTGTAGGGTTTCTACACCACCTCTTCTATAGATTTAATGAGATATGCAAATTACAATTATGCCTCGAAGTAAACAAGTAAAACTCTAAACACTCTCTAACTCTTAACATTTTCAATCCTTTCAGGGAGAAGGTTTCATGGTTGGGGTGAAGATAAATCCTGTACCGGGTTTGCCTTCTGGATTCCCGGTAATATTCTCTAGTCTACTTCTTATAAGCATCCTTCTTGAGCTCACCTGTGTGAAAATTTTCTGAAATCTGATACCATCTACATTTGACAAATCCTTTGAAAAGGAATTGCTTCGATTTGTCCTAAAACATGTTGAAGATAAAAATGTGGAAGCCCTTCTCGAGGTATGTGGAATTTCTTGCAGCCTTCTGTTTTTCCTAGTTGCCAATACACCCTAACCTCACCATTAGATTATTATTATTATTTTTATCATCAAACTTTTGTATTCAGGGATTACTAGAGGTTCGTGAGGCGATTAGGCCATTGCTATCCAATTCCAATGACCGTCTTAAGGATCTTTTGTTCTTGGACATTGCACTTGATTCCACAGTTAGGACAGCCATTGAAAGGGGATACGAGGAGTTGAATAGTTCTCAACCACAGGTATATTCTCTTGTCAGCATGTCTGCATCTGTATAATTCTGTTAACTAGTTAATTTCTTTCTTTTTCTCTTAACTGGATTTTGTCTCAGTTCTTGCAACAGTTATGGGTGCTTTTAGTTTCATAATATGAAATATATTTTTGACTAGCAGATTTTTGTGTTTTGCAGAAAATTATGTACTTCATAGCTCTTGTTCTTGAAAACCTTGCACTTTCATCAGATGATAATGAGGATCTCATCTATTGCTTAAAGGTAATCACCAACTCATTTAAATGATTAAATCATTAAATTGCTAGCTCATTTCTAGATAGTACTCTAATTCAAAAAGATGTAATTTCACAAATATAAGGTGCAGAAATTTAGGTTAAAAGACACAATAACAGCTTTTTATCATATTTATCAATGGTGCTTTGACAGGTCTATAGGCAGTGCATAATGTAAACAGGGTGCACAAAATCTTCTACTTTCAAAATTGCTGTTTGTACCACTTAAATCCAGTATGAAAGATTTTCTATACCTGTACAAAGTACAAACACTCATAAACAATTTGATTTGTTTATCAGAAAAATGAACTATGTAGAATGCAGTATATAGTCTTTAAGAAGCAATAAGAAAATTAAGCAATATAAATACCCACTTTTTTTTTTTTTTTTTTTTGCCTTTTTGGGTAAGTAAGTCACACACATCCCTTTGTCCCACTGGGGACTCGACCACTCAACTTCCCATTTGGAAGGAGGAGGAGATACCACTTGGGCGAAGCCTTTGGTAAATGCTTGCTGTTCACGTGGCTTGCATTTTAGAATATAAGAAATAGAGAGCATAACTTTTCCTTCTTTCTTAATCATTGAGAAATTGACAACTGTACATGTCCTTTTGTTGCGGTTGAACTTTATATCTGATTTTGAGGAAGGCTTGGGTATTCCTGCTTTGTGGACAACATGGTTTCACCTAAGTTGGTGGAAATATTGAGTTACGATTCCAAATGAGTTCATCAATATATGTACTTTTGGCATGAATTTGTTGTTGTGCAAGTTCATTGTCTTTTGAAAATTCAAATCATCAGTCACCAGACATCACTCACCAGTCATTCCATGTGAGGGGGAAAAAGAAGAAAAAACTGATGCAGCGTTGCCATAGTAATCTAAAAATGTTCTCTTTTGTGCTTTTAAGGGATGGAATCAAGCTTTAAGCATGTCAAAGAGTGGAGATAATCACTGGGCACTATATGCAAAATCAGTCCTTGACAGAACCCGACTTTCACTTGCAAGCAAGGCAGAGCGGTACCTTCAAATATTGCAACCATCCGCTGAGTATCTCGGATCACAGCTTGGAGTGGACCAATGGGCTGTATGTTAATCCTGCTATAATCTAAAGATTCTAAATAAGAACTTCTGATTTTGTTAAATACAACTACCTTTATTCCATATGTATAATCACTTCATGCAGGTGAACATATTCACCGAGGAGATTATTCGTGCTGGTTCAGCTGCTTCATTGTCCTCACTTCTCAATCGACTCGATCCTATTCTTCGCAACACTGCCAATTTGGGAAGGTGGATTAAGCCTTATTGTTATAAACTCAACAATCAAGCAATTGTTTCTTTTGATTTTTTAACATAATTGGTTCATCAATTCTAGTTCCTAACTGTTCACTTGGTATTAGATAAAAGTTGGAGGAAGGGTGGGGAAGAGGGACAGGGATGGACCCATGATGAGACATGGCCCTCCAAATTTTTTGGAAATATGAATAGTTGAAATTAAAAATATTAAAATGATTTACTGATCAAAAAATATATATATATAATAAAGATTTTACAGTGGCCTCCCAAAAGCTCACTGGATTCCTCCAGGCCTTACTTTTTGAAGTCCACATTAAAAAAATTGATAAAAAAAGAAGAAGATGATGATGATGAGAATATAACCTGTAAACCTCTTTCTCATCATTTTACTATTTTTTCACTCTGGTTTTTTGGTCCATTTTTATGCATATATATGCCAAAACTAGATATGTTTTTTTATGCTTGGGTTACAATATGCTTTTTGTTTACTAATGATCTTATCTTGGCTTTTTTTATATTAAAAATATATAGTATGCCTTCTATTGTAAAGAAACCATATTATAGTATGTATGTTACTTAAATTTTTATTTATATACTACTAATTTGAGTCATTTGACTCCTCAAGTAGACGTTTCTGAGTCCGTCCATGAAAGTGGGAGGAAAAGAGATAAGATGGAGAGAGCTTTCCTTGCTTATTATTAAGAAAGGGAGAAGGGAAAGGAAAGGAGAGAGGAGACTTCCCTTCAAGCCCACTATTTTCTTCTTGCCCAAAAGTGGGTGGAAAGGAACAGGGAAACCAAGGTTTTTTCCCCATTTTTGTCCATCAAGTTATACCTTTTTGTTATTATGTAAGAGTATAACGGTAAAATTAAGCGACATCCATTTCCTTCCTACTCAACCAAACAAAAAGGAAGAAAATTTCTTTTTTCTTGGAAACTGTTGCATCCCTCATAATAGCTTCACTTCCAATTTTGCATCCCTCGTACCAAATGGAGCTTAAAAGTTTCAGCTTTCTGATCTTGAGTTATGATTTGAATGTCATTATATGGTATGGTGGTGTTATAATTTGAAGCCAAAGCTTGGGACTTTTATAGTAATATTAACCATCTTTGGATGGCCTGATACAGTTGGCAGCTTATCAGCCCGGTTGAAGCTGTTGGATATGTAGTTGTTGTAGATGAGTTGCTTACTGTTCAGAATAAATCCTATGGACAGCCAACAATTTTGGTGGCAAAATCTGTAAAAGGAGAGGAGGAAATTCCAGATGGTGTGGTTGCTGTGCTGACACCTGACATGCCAGATGTGCTATCTCATGTCTCTGTTCGAGCAAGAAACAGCAAGGTAATTCTCTGTCACTCTTCTTTTCTTTTTCTTGTCTGTACTCTCTTTCATACATGAGATGTCCCTTTTTTTTTTCCCTGTTCTACGTGGGTTTGAGTCTTATACTAGTCATTTTGTGCAAAGTATGTCATAAGTTATCTTTTCTTCCTAGCACCTGGTGTAGATGGGACATACATTGGGTAATATACCTTTTTTCTTTTCTTGTGGGCTCTTGTTGAAATGAAATAATGAATGATATTGACGACAGACATTGAGACCATTATTTTTCTCTTTACAGGTTTGCTTTGCTACTTGCTTTGATCCGAGTATTTTGGCTGATATCCAAGCCTATGAAGGAAAGTATTTGCATCTAAAACCTACATCTTCAGATGTAGCTTATAGGTAATAATATCCTGAATTATTGTTGGAGATTTCATATTGTTATCCGAGATATGATAGGCTAAAATCATGGATGTAACTTACCATATTAGCCAATATATGATAGGCTAGAATCATGAAATTTGACTTTATTTACGCATATGTCTAGGCATAGAATATCAATGATTTTATTTAGTTTCCCTTTTTGTAATAGTAACATGTGCTTTTTTAGTATATAAATACCAGAGCTGTGAAAGAGTGTTAAAAAGCCACATTCAAGCCTTTTACATATATCTCTTGTATTTTTTCTATCTTGTATTTCTTTTTGGTATTAGAGCCAGGGTGGTTCAACTGCAACAAGGGCATTGCGAGTGGCACCACCCATTCCCATTCAAGAATGGTCGGAGGAGACATTGTTGATGGTTTGTGGTACGAGGAGACATTGGTGATTCTTCCATCTACATATTTTTAAATGTGTGTATGAAGGGAAATGGTCTGAGGAGACAATGTTAATTATTTATGGTCTGAGGAGACATTGTTGATTCTTTCATTTACATATTCTAAACATGTGTATGAAAGGTAATGGTTTGAGAAGACATTATTGATTCTTCCATCTACAAATTTTAAACATATGTATGAAGGTAAATGGTCTGAGGAGACAGTATTGGTTGTTTTTGGTTTGAGAAGACATGGTTGGTTGCTTATGGTCTAAAGAGACATTGTTAATGGTTTATGGTCAAAGGAGACACTAGCTGAGTTAGATAAGACGTATCCATAATGGTTTGTCGAAAACATCATGATTATGTCTTGGCTAATCAATTTAATGTAGCCAAACAGAGTTGTTGGCTATATATTTATAAAGATCGTGTTTGAGGAAACCTTGTCCAAAGTGGACGTCTCGGATATTCACGCACCAACTTGAGGGGGAGTGTTAGTCGCAATATAATATGCTAGAATCATGAACGTAACTTACCATATTAGCTAAGATATGATAGGCTAGAATTCTGGGATTTGAATTATTTATGCATATTCCTAGGCATATTAGCATAAATATGCAATGATTTTATTTAGTTTCCTTTTTTGTGATATTAACATGTGTTCTTTTTAGTATAAAAAGAAGAAGTTTTGGGTTTTGGCTTACCTAAACTAAGAGCCAAGAGCTATATTTATATACAAGAATAGGGTAAAAAGAAAGGAAATCAAATCAAAGAAAAACAGGAAATATGCCAAAATCTACATGATCCCATGATTACGGGGATCTTATCTGTGTTGCTGAAAACAACTAATAATAAAATAATAATAATAATACAGATATTTCAGCACTCCCCCTCAAGCTGGAGTGAAGATATCAATCAAACCCAGCTTGGTAATCGAGGAATGAAGCAAAGATGGACCAACGGATTTGGTGAACACATCTGTGACTGATTAGAGGACCGAACAAAACACGGCTTGATAATTCCCGAACGAACCTTCTCTCTGATAAAATGAATGACCACCTCTATATGTTTAGTCCTCTCATAAAGAACAGAATTTGAAGCAAGCATGATGGCTGACTTATTATCACAAAACAAGTCTGAGGACTGGAGTTCCTCCAAGAAAGATCGAAGCCAGAGAATCTCACAAGTACCCTGGGCTATGGCACGATACTCAGCCTCTGCTGAAGATCTCAAAACTATAGGTTGCTTCTTACTTTTCCAGGATATAAGATGATCTCCATAGAAAGTACAGAAGTCAGATGTAGAACGTGAAACGTGGCTCCACAATGTTGACAAATAACCTTTCCCTCTGGAAGTGTAGAATTAGCAGCAAGAGCCATCCGATAAATTGGAGTCTCTGGTAAAGCTACTGGCTGAGAGATCTGACATCTATGTTCCTCATGGTCAACAGTAGCGAATGCATCATATAAATCAGGCATAGGAGAGGTGTTTATGATCTGAGTTCTAAGAGCATCACACTCGGATAGTAAACCCATAAAAAACTGGTAGGTATGCTGGCGGTCCAGTTTCTTGACCAAAAAAGTTGCAGCAGCTTCAGAGAAATCGGAGAGAGGTTCATACTGTGCTAATTCTTCCCACCTATACTGGAGGTACCCAAAATACTCTGATATTGATAGCTTAAGTGTCTCCTGAGATGTATGAGCAATCTCCTGATAGAGTTCAAAGATACAAGCGTCATTGTGGGAATGGGCATACATCTTGTTAAGGGCTTGCCACACACGAAAAATGGAAGTGTGAAACATGAACATATTATAGATATGCTTCTCCATTGAGTTGAAGATCCAACCCAGAATGGTGCACCTGTCCATGTCCCATGCAATATATTTAGTGTCTGTCTTTTCTGATTCCTTAATTAGACCCAAAAGCCAACCAGTTTTCCCTTTCCCTCCAATATAGAGTTGAAGAGAACGGGAACGAGATACGAAGTTGCGCCCATTCAAGAGCACACTGGTAACTTGCTGTGCCGGAGTATGATGTGTCAAAGATAAAGTATGCTGGACTGATGATAAAGTGTCCGTTTGGCTACTAGAATCAGTCATAGTACCAAAATGAGGCTGGTCCACACGTCAAAGCAGGAGGAAAGAGAAGAAAAAAAATAAGGCCAGAAAAATTGGCGTTTTCGTCCAAATATGCTGCCGAACAAACACCGGTAGCCCACAAAAGGAAAAAAAAAAACCAGGACCCTTAGATCATAAAAAACCTAAGACTATGTTTGGTACGATGGGTTTGAAGGGAGAGGATAACATTAGTTACGAGGGAAATGGAAGGGAAGGGAAAGGAAGGATAATTTTAATCTCCCATCGTGTTTGGTTGATTAATGAATGGAAAAGAAATGGAAGAATAATAATCATGTTTGGGAAAGGAAAGGAAAGGAAAGAGAATTATTTTAATAAATTTACTATTATGCCCTTTTATATTTTAAAAGATAAATTTATATATATATATTTTGTCTCCTATATAAAGGCCCATGGATCGGCTACCAGAAAAGGAAAAATTTTTTTAGGGCAAATCATTTCAGCCTCCATCTCTATTCTCGTTCTCAACTCTGAACTTGCCCTCTCTCTCTCTGTTACTGCAAACTACTATAAGAATCAGAAGTTCAAAACCCATATAATTCAATTTATATATTTGTCTGCAAGAATCAAAAGTTCAAAACCCATATCGGCATCATTTCAGATTGTTTAAAAAATCAAAACCCATATCGATCTTTCAGTTTCCATCGCCTGCTATTCCAATTCGGGTTCGCCGTTCGCAAGATTCAGCCGCAGGCCCTCTTTCTCTCAACTCTCAAGCTTGCCCCCCTCTCTCTCTGCAACTGCTAACTTGTACGTATGGGTTTTGTTTTATTTTTATTTTTTCTAAATCAACTAATTAAGGTCTGTAATTCTTGTTTTGCAAACTAAATTCACATGTAATCAAGGGCAAAATTGGCATTAGAAATCACACACCAAGCCTCTCCTTCCCTTTCCTTCCATTATAGGAGGTTAAGAAATTTACTGTTTAGGCCTTGTGTTAACCCTCCAAAACCTTGCCTTGCCTTCCAACCATTTAAGCCAAACGCAAATTTTTAATCACCCTCCATCACCTTCCCTTTCCTTTCCTCCCTTTTCCATTGCACCTAACTGACCCTAAGGGAATTCTCCTAAAAAAAAGGAGTCAAAAACAGAGGGTCATCCGAGGGGTCCGGCGCAAGGGCTAGGAGGAGATGGAGGTGCGCCGGAGGTGAGGGAAAATAGAGAGAGAGAAGGTGGCGGCGTTGGGGAGGAAGATGGGGAGGTGAAGGTTTTTGTTTTGCTCTGATACCAAAAAGAAGAAGTTCTGGTTTTGGCTTACTCAAACCGAGAGCCAAGAGCTATATTTATATATAAGAATAGGGTACAAAGAAAGGAAACCAAATCAAAGAAAAATAGGAAATATGCTAAAATCTACGTGATCCCATGATTATGGGGATCTTATCTACATGATCCTATGATTACGGGGATTTTATCTACGTGATCCCATGATAATAGGGATCTTACATAAAACACCTAATAAAAGACTGAAAACAGCTAATAAAAATAAAAATAATAATAATACAGATATTTCAACAGTATATAAATACCATAGTTGTGAATGAGTGTTAAAAAGCCTCATTCAAGCCTTTACATATTATTATGAGTAGTGCTACACATCTTGAATAAAAATTCGAGATTTGATCTTAAATTAATGTCCTCTAATTTAATACATATTACATTGTAGTCTTTTATGCATATGTGTTTACTATTTTAGCTAAAAGAACTAAATGAATTGTCAATTGAAGGAAAAGGAAAGAATAAATAATTACACTAGGTTTTCTCTCTCTATCTTTAATTTACTTTCATCTACTAATCATTTACAATATATATTCAAGTGTGTGTCAGTGTGTGTGTGTGTGTCTATATATATATATATATTCTCTTATGCACTCTCTATGTTTTTCAGCAACTCTATATCTTTGTTGGGTATGTCTTTAAAATTTAATCTTAATTAAAAAAATACCAAATTAAAATATAATTATAAAAAGTGTTAAGTGAATTATGTAAATTTGGGTTCTTATTCACCAGGAAGAGATCACTCGTTCATGGTAAAAATTTGTAGTTTCTAGTTTTAATTATTTGCAAATTTAAGAGAAAGAGTCTCCCAAAAGAAGATATATACCGGTAAGATTGAATTCAAGTTATTAAGTTATATTAGGATTTGGATTCTATAATCATAAGTTTTGCCATTTTTTCTCTCTTTCCTATTTTAAGATCTTTTCTATATTAAAAAAATTATTTTAAAAATATACAAAGCAAATTATTTTTAAAACATACAAAGCATCCAAATAAGCTGACAACTAAGCAGCCACCTAATTCACGATAAAATCACAAATTAAAATTCGTGAAGTATAGCATTTTCCTATTATTATTCTCATTCAAGCCTTTACATATTTATCTTGTATTTCTTCTATTATAATGTGCATCATGAAATAATATTTCAGTTTTTCTCCAGTACAAAACCCACTTTTTATATTCTCGATAAGTAGGAAAATTCATTGCTTAGCTACAATTACATGATCTGCAAAAACTGATAGCTAATCTTTCTCCCACTCTTATATTTTATTTCAGCGAGGTGAAGGAGGGCCATCTAACAAGTGAAAGCTCATCTAATTCGGAAGAAGCTGGACTTTTTCCATCTATAACTTTAGCCAAAAAGCAGTTTGGTGGTAGATATGCCATATCCTCTGAGGAGTTCACAAGTGAAATGGTTTGAGTTGGCAGTGTGAACTTTGTTTTGTATTTGAGGAGTTATTTGATTATCTTCTTTTCTATTTAGTGCTGAGAGATATATATAATGACAATTATTTATATTAATTCCATGGAATGCTGTACAGCTTTCCATATCATTTCCATTTTGAGATTGTGCAACTTACAGGATTCTTATTTTTCTAGGTTGGAGCTAAATCACGTAATATTGCATATCTTAAAGGAAAAGTGCCATCTTGGGTTGGGATTCCTACCTCTGTTGCCCTACCATTTGGAGTTTTTGAGAAAGTTCTTTCATATGATTCAAATCAGGTTTTTCTCATTGCATGAGCCTACCTTTTCATGTATCCTTAAAGTAGTTTGCAATAACAGTTATTTACTATCATTTAATTCAGTAACTTCTAGCATTTTCATAATTTAAGTGTGTGTAGTGTTTTTTTATTTTTGTATACCTTGGAATAGAGACATCATTAACCTGGTAAATTTGACATTTGCATCAAAACTACAAAAAATATTGGTTAGTTGTAATTGGTGCAGTAGTATGCCCATTTAAGGGATTTTTCTCAGGGAGGGATTTCAGTTAGTAATCTAAAAGGATAGGTTAACACAGGTGAGACTAAATTTACAATTATAATGAAGCTACACTGTGAGTCTCCTTGGTTGACTCTATCAATCTTCAACAATTTGGAAATGAAAATAGAGAAAATGATCATGTTAAGAAACACCTTTATCACTAAACAATGGTTAGTAATGTCTTAGCTCAGGGTTAATTTTGCGTGTGGAAGGTTGCACAAAACAACGAGTATTTCTTGAAGCAGTCACAGTAATATTGTAAATTGCCACATGCTGGAGATGTAATTCCATTCCTAGAATCTGTTAAGCCAGCATTTCTGTCATGGTGCCTTCCATCACTTAAAGGTTGGCAGAGTTTCTGTTTGTGATGAATTCCGTTCCATCTGTAGAAATTGTAGAAGGAAACGCACATATTAATTTACTTTTGTTTGCATAGTATTTAGTTCCTGGAAAGTTCAATTCTGCAGCTCAAATCATGTAGATAATATCTTCTGTTCTCCTTTAATCTTTGGTGTGGTTTTTTTGTTCCTTTAATCCATTTCTTAATCCTGCCAGCTCATAACTGTCCTGAATTTAATTGGCAGGGAGTAGCAAAAAAGTTGCAGCTCCTGAAAACAAAGTTAGGGAAAGAAGATTTCAGTGCTCTTAAGGAGATCCGTAAGACAGTTTTAGAGCTTGCAGCACCACCCCAGTTGGTAAGCCATTCTACTGATGGACTTGAAAGATTTTATGTATTTTCTTGTCACATAAGTAAGATTCAGAAAATTGTGAGAGCACAAAAGCATATGTTTCTTACATTGTTTATGGACAACTTACCTACAAATAAAATACGTTAGCGAGGTGATATAATATTCAAAATGTTTTGGGTGCATTTGTATCTACCATTGACCTCTGCATCTATAGCCGGGCCATAGATTGGATACTGTTAGAGGATTTAAATATTAAAGTTACACCCTCTTTAAGAGCTCAAACTTGTAGAGTAGATGGTGGTTAACATATACTATTTGCTTACAAGGGGTTAAAACATAGGGTTTGTGTTCGTAACCCCTTGGATGCTTAAGATGAGGCTATCCATCAGCTAGATTTCACACCTGGAATGCATTTTTGCTTTTGAAGTTTATAATTTGTTTCTATAGTGTCAATAAAACATGAAAAGTGGTAATCTTATTAAGAAGCAACTCTGTAGGACTTACTTGCTTAACAAAAAGTCTGTAGTAAGGACTTCATGGGAAAACGATGTTAAACCATAGTTATTAATCCCGCTTCACATTGACTCAAACAGACCAAAACGTTCAACTCCAGTCATGAAACAATATCTTACCTCACTATATATTTCATTTTGTTCCGCATATGTTGTCACTATTGAAATGGGTTGTATGGATTATAATTCTCACAAAGTGGAAGATAGAGAATCACTGGAATTCAAAATTTTATTAGTAGGATACTAAATCTAAACAGTATCATGAGATAATTTAGTTCAGAATTTTGATTAATATACAAGGATATATGCATGTATCATCCATAAAGTTTGGGGTCAATTTATAAAATACCCACAAATATGATTTTGTTTGCAAATATGAAAATTTTCATAAACCAAACAGGTGTTATTATTATAATAAACAATTAGGGTGCAACTTGGGTGGGCCAACCCTACCCCAAAAAAACCATTTTTTTACGGGCTTGGGCAATCAGTTTTACAATAAGGGTTAGGTTTTGGGCAGAAAAATCTCAACATCAAACTTAATCTGAGTTTAATTGGGGTTGGGTGTCAATCTATGTTACATGGACTCAGGTACGTCTGTCAGGTGCGGGAATATATCTGGGAGTTAGATGTGTCAAATCCCCAAACAAAAAGACACATGAATAATACTGAATATTTATATTATTTAATAATATTTACCATTTATTTTATTTTTTAGGTAAAATAACGTCTTTATTTAACAGTGTGCAATATTGGCATTTCACTCATTTTGAAGCAATATATAACAAAATCGAATTGTTGGACGCGGTTTTTAGGTGCATGTCTCGAGCAAAAATGTCGGACGCATATCCCATACCCATTTATGAACAATGTATGTCGGACACATATACTTCACCTACTATTGATTTATAATTTTGATCGACCTTTCTTCAACAACCCAAACTTGAATTCTTGTTCTACCATTTTTTTTTTATTTTTTTTTATTTTAACATATTACATATTTATAATTTTAATCGACCTTTCTTTGATTTTTTTTAAATATTGATTTGTTATGTTTTAATCATGTATTAGGAAGCTTGGTTGAGGGTCGGGATCGGTTGGGGCTGGATTGAACCCTAAACTGGCTGAATTTCACCCTTTAAACAATCAACATATTTTAGTTGAATATTGATTTTTTTTTTTTTTTTTACTGAAAAAAAAGAAGAAAAAAAGAAAAGGATGTCAAATAAGTGACCGTTAGAATGATTTGGATTGTGCTTGTTGGTGGAGAAAAAACAATATGGATTGTGTTTCTTCCATGAAGAGCCCTAATTCACAGAGAGAGAATTGAAGATTTTCCATGATCACTGGTGTTGCCCATCCTGCTTTTACAGGTGTTATAAAGCATAAAATATATGTGACGAGAGAAATTAAACGAGTAAAACACACAACTATTACATGGTTCAGCCATTAGGGCCTACATCCACAGCACAAAGAGCCCCAAAGGGCCACCTATCTTTCATTATAATCTCTCTTTTCATACTCAATACACTGGTGGAGGCTCCTCTATATAGGAGAAGAAATTACGAGAATGGAAAGAAATAGAAAATAGGAAACAAGGAGGATTTTTCTCCACTGATTCAATCTTCAATAATAGGAAACATCAATTCCGTTAAATCAAATCCTCCCCTGGTTCCTCCATTAAATCTTCAATAACAGTTAGCAATAAAATCCTAAACTATTTCTCATGATCATCATATTCTTTTTTGCTCCTCTATGATCTCGGGATTTTTTTTCAAGAATTTGGATGTTATATGCTTATATAGGATACATTTGATCTTTGTGAAAAGCTGGACATTTGAAATCCAACAAAATTAGTATAAGAAGAATGATTGAACAGGTCCATGAATCTGAAATTTGAATATGTGAATTGAAAACAGTGTGGTTGTGGATTAGGGCTAGATTTTCTCTTAGAGCATCGATCTGCTCATAGCGTGAGAGCAGTACCCCCTTGTGGGCAGATCAAATGACTTGGCTCTCAACTCTGAAGCCTCAAATCCTGAATAAGATTAAAAAGTTTCGAGTTTAATCCAATCAAAGTTTGGGGGGAAGAAAAAAGAAAAAAGTACAAGTGAAGTTATCAATTTGAAGATGAAAGCACTCACAAACTACTGAGTGATTCCAAAGGGGTTTGAATTTCTATGAAGAGCAAGTATTTTCTTTGTTCTATGATTTTTTGTTTTTTCTTTAGTGTTAATTCAATCCTAGTGCTGGTTCCTTTATTGTATTCGTTCTTTCCTTTTTGGTCTGTTTACATTTTTATCTTTTCTTAATGATTTGTTGTCTATGAACAAGATGTTGATAATTTTGAAATTGACACTGCTGAACTAGATAATGGCACTTTTATGTTAGGCTTCCTCTTGAAGTTCTTTTTCCCTCTTCATTGTGGGTCTGTGGATGATATTTTCTTGGTAATATATTGTGTCTTCTAGGGTATTGGTGTAAACATATATATATATATATATAACTGATTAACTGTAGTATATATATATATATATATATATATATATACCTGATTAAGTGTCTATTGTCTACTACTTTACAGCATTATTTCTATCTGTCTTGGTATGTTCCTTTCCATGGAAAAACTGAAACAAATGGAATTCATAAATGTTCGAAATATAACCTGAGACCTTATGGCATGAGTTATTTCAGGTACAAGAGCTGCAAAAAACAATGCAAGGTTCTGGCATGCCTTGGCCTGGTGATGAAGGTCAGCAGCGATGGGAACAAGCATGGATGGCTATAAAAAAGGTAAGCTTGCATGATCCTGCGCAGAGAAATAGCATATGACCCACAGTTTAATGATGGCTTGCAGTCTGTCTTAATGCCAAAAGCAGTCACTCGTTATTCTCTAGAATTGACATCTCCTAAATACCCCTATTTATGACTTTTTCTCCTCTCGCTTCTCCTAGATATTAATGCTGATATTCTTCATTGCATATTTGAAGCAAGGCCATAGTTAGCTGGCTCCTTCACATATATCCATGTTTTACCTGAAAGATCTGTTCTGGATTAAATTTATCGACATATGCATGAATAATTTGCAATTGATGAATTTTTTATTTGATATCCCCAATACTTCTTTATCTACGAGTAATTGTGATATAAAGCTTGTTCTAAACTGCAACTTTTAGTATAACTTTCTTACTTTTAATTTAAAATTCTTTACATGTCAATTTTCCCATTTAGAACCTTGATATCTTGAGGCATTTCATTTACAGGTTTGGGCTTCAAAGTGGAACGAGAGAGCATACTTCAGCACAAGAAAAGTTAAATTAGATCATGATTATCTTTGCATGGCTGTCCTGGTTCAGGAAATAATAGCTGCTGACTATGCATTTGTCATCCACACCACTAATCCATCTTCAGGAGACTCGTCAGAGATATATGCTGAGGTAACATGTTTTTACTTCTTTGTTGTTGAATTACTCCCTGGTTGCATGACTTCAAATCATATGATCAATCTGGTTTGTATTCATCCCAGCCCAACAACTGGTGTTCACATCAGGTTTATAACTGATTGTAAGATGGTCTCAAACCATGGGGAATCATTATTTAATTTATAAAGCAAACTCCAGATACTGGTGATTAAAGGAGTGCTAATTTCTAGTTGTAATTTCTTTTTTTGTTCATATCTATAATTATTCAAGTGACTAGCCAAAGAAAAAGATGTTTATGGAAGTCTCCCTTCTGGCACAGGTAGTGAAGGGGCTTGGAGAAACTCTAGTAGGAGCTTATCCTGGCCGTGCTTTGAGCTTTGTCTGCAAGAAAAATGATCTTAACTCTCCTCAGGTAAATAACCTAGTTTCTTTTGGTTTCTAATTAGAGAATGGCCCGTATATACATGAATCGTGATGGATGTCAGTAGAACTGTAATCGTGATGGATGTCAGTAGAACTGTTAATTATTTTAGTAGTTATGAAAGTGTAGTGCCAAAATGGCAGCCATGTGGATGCCAAGGTAGCCTAATGGAAGACCAAGAGTTGTCTTGAAAATTGGTTTGGATTTTTATTTAAACTACCCATTTTTTTATTTGTCTAGTATTTCCTGTCCATTAAGTTGTGTTTTATTTAACTTTATATTGTTGTCATCTTTGCGTTTTGTGCCGGAGTTGGAGGTTGTGTCCGAATCTAATGATTTAGTGGAAAAACTACTATATCTAGGTGGATGGAGGATGGAGTTGTAGCTTCTGAATTATACTTGATATTTAGTAATATTATAGTGTAGCTCTTGTTATCGAACTCCTCTTTCCTTTTCTTGGTTGAACTTTTTGTTCTAAATTCTTCCTCCTCATTCTTGTCCACCCGTGTCAGAAAGTCAACTGTGAAAAGTTTTTCTAATGTTAATTTATATAATAATATTTTGTTGCATTTTGTGAACCAATGTTGTTGTGATTTTCATTAAGAAAGAGACCATTTATAATGTTTCTTCATAGTAAGATCGTTATTCTTTTGTGAATTTGGAGTTGTCTGTGCTCACGAATTTGAATATGTTCAGGTATTAGGTTACCCAAGCAAACCCATTGGCCTTTTTATCAGACGATCTATTATCTTCAGATCTGATTCTAATGGGGAGGATTTAGAAGGTTATGCTGGTGCGGGCCTTTACGATAGGTAACATTTTTAAAGCTCTTCTCAGCTGAGAAGCTAATTTTTAAATAGTGGATGGCATTTGTCGTTATTGTTTTGCCTTTACTTTATCCCAACTTCATGTTATGAGTTATGCATGCTGTTATTCTCCATGTCAAAAGCAATTTTATATGTTAAATATTTATTTATTCTCGCCAATTATCTAGCTATCTGTTCTTGAATTTACATAGTTGAAAATCGTGTCAGGCTTAACTCCACTAATTATGAAATTTAACTTGTGCGAAGCTGTGAAGTTGATATCTTATTTTAGTTTGTAGAATGGTGTGGTTCATTTGGAATTCATTTTGTTCTTTGAAAAGATCAGTCTAAGTACATATGCATAGAATAAATAAATAAAACTCAATACTAGAACCCAAGTACAGCCCGTAACAGTCCGCAATCTCTCTAAGTTGCCATGATTTGATAACTTCAATTCAGCCACACTGGAGGCAGCATATTCTGGCACCAGTATTGCAACCAATTCCTGTTCTTAAATGCTTTATAATAATCATATATTGCAATTATGTTTCATCTTTGAATGCTATATAACCACATATGCATACCCAAAAAAAAAAAAAAAAAAAACCTACCTCAATAGAAAAACCTAAAAGCAGCCCATAGCAGTCCGAACTATCTATAAGTTGCATTGCAATCAATTCTTGTCCTCAAAATGCTATATAAAAATCACATATTGCAAACACTTTTTCATCTTTAATTAAGGGACATTACATAGTGTTGGTCCTGCTACAGCATGGACTTGGGGTGGGAGGACTTGAGATAGACCTAAACTTTGGTAGTTCACAAAGTGGCTGCTTTGAGACTCAAACTTCTACCAGTGGCACTGATATTCAAGCGTTAAACCGTTGAACTATGCAATGACTCTCATTTTCTGTCCTTAAATGCTATTTAAAAATTTATACACTTGACATCAATAATTTGATGTGTTAATTAAATGTCAACTTCAAATGCATTTTTGCTGATTCACAATTCTTTTTTTCTGTAGTGTGCCGATGGATGAAGAAGAGAAGGTTGTGGTTGACTACTCATCTGACCCCTTGATGATTGATGGTAATTTCCGCCAATCGATCCTCTCCAGCATTGCACGTGCAGGAAATGCAATTGAGGAGCTTTATGGATCTCCTCAAGACATCGAAGGTGTGGTCAGAGATGGGAAAATCTATGTCGTCCAGACAAGACCTCAAATGTAATCCCGATACTTTCAGAGGTGATTTTATAAGAGTTGGTCGGAAGTGGGAGAATCTACATTATCCGGACCACGAATATTGTTATGCTGATTATTTATATAGTGTTTTTATGAGGGTATAATTATCTAAAAATGAGAGAAAATAAAAGGCTAGAGAATAACAAGATTACGAATAGAGAGTAGTGAAAAGATGAAGTTAACATTCGAACCGCAACATGGACATTGGACTTTGTACGTAAATTTCTCTTTTAAGGACTACTTGTTTACTAGTAAGACTGATAACCACTGGTGTGTCGGTGTGTGTCAGCTTTTTACCATTTGGTTCTTTTCTTTTCAGTGACTGCTTACTACGCATTACACAATGTGTGCTCTAAATGTACTATCTGCGAACGCAGAGAAGACATAGCTCAGCAAAAATGATTTGGTTCTCTCAATCTCAGCAAGATTCACCCACTCTAGTGAAATCTTGTGCGCATATGAATTGATTCAGAGAGGTTTTCTTGATGATGATGATAAAAGTTTAGGAAAGTTCGAGTAATGGATTTGGCGGAAAAACTTTGGGCTAATTACTGGCCTGTTGGACCAAGATGGGTCAATGTGTGGGCTGCACCGGTGGATTAGGATCCACATAAGTAGTGGACCTCCCATATGAAAAACCTGCCCATAGTCCATCCAGGTATGAACTGAAGTGGCACGCACCTAGACCTCCGTAACTGACAAAATTGCCCCTCTTGGTGAAAGCATTGCTTGAAGTCCATCCATTTGGGATACCACTGTCTTAATCATTGACAACATAACATGTGTCTCCGAGTCATTTCCACTGGTCTATCCGAGTGCGCACACCACTTTTGTCAATTTGTCCAAAGTCAATTTCTAGTATTCAAAATCTTCTCTCCTCTTTTCTTCATAAAATTCATTCTCAGAAAAATGTTGATGATGCCGACCAGATCTCAGAAAATCTTGATTTTCTAATCGTGTTCCATGCATGCCTAATTGAAAACCGTGCTAAGTTTGTTCTTTATGTGTGATACATAGATAATTTCACTTAATGTTTAAGCTACTTATCAAGGATGGACTAAGTGGTGGTGAGAAAAGCTTTTTAAATGAAATGAAGGTCACTGAAATAACTTTTCATGAACTCTTTCCAGATATCGTAACTGCAAATTGCACCAATGGGGTCATAGAAGTATTAATAAGAAGGGATGACTAATAACCTAACTAAGCACTTTCTCTAAAAGGGCTTTTAAGACATGATCAACAATATGATGAATTACATGTATGCACACAGACAACATCAAAATGGTGAGTTGGTTCACCATGGCAAGCAATTATGAGAAGAACATTGGGTTCTTAATGTGTGCATGGTATGAGGAACATCATGATGATGCACATGATGATGTAATGAGGATGGCCCATGAAGATGATATCCCCAGCATGTGGGTAATGAGAGAGAGAACAATATTCATTCTTTCCAACAATTCTCCACCTTCCAAAATCATGGGTTTGGAAAATCTCCACTTTGGACGTGGTGGGTATGTGATGAGAGACATGTCACAATTGCTATGCCCCCTTGCATGGCCCTTTTGGGATTTAATTACTTCAACTCATATAGTATTATATATATATATATATATATATATAGCTAATAAAGAAAGCTGGTCATGCCTCTTTGGACACAATCATTGCTTAACATCACCATTCTATGGTCCAAAGCCTTTAATCTCTTTCTTTCTCCCTATCAATAGAGCCTTTTTGAAATTTAATATTACATATATAGGATAATTACAAATAAACCATAGTATATTTTATAGAATGAAAGTAGAGAGAGAGAGAGAGAGAGTCTAGTTATATATTCTCAATGGGACCATTTTCATTTTGTGTTACTTCAAGAAATTTTGTCCATTGGTTCTGGAACCATGACCCAAGTTCTTCTAAATTAATTAGTACCATTCTTTCTCATGATTCTATTCTCTTCTTTTCATGTGGTTCTAAGTGGAATTGTCTGTTTGCTTTTTAACTAATATTCCAAATTAATTTAGATGCTCTGATATTACTCTAACGAGGAATGAAATATAGAAACATCTGATCAAAAAACAGCTTCTTCATTTACTTTTGTTTCTCACTTTATGTGTTGATTGTTTGGTTGTCACGAAGCCCATGGAATTGGAGAAGTATTTAGAATTATAGAGATTTAGGACCAGTTTGTTGAGTTACTCTGACAACAGATTTCAATTATATGAAAACATAATTTTTTTTTTTTTTTTTAATAAAAATTGATCGCTTTTTAATTTTCAGTTATCAGACAACGCACAATTATTTTTAAAAAATTAAACCAAACAAATACATAACATTCAGTATTTCCACTTCAATACTTTAAATATAATAATTAATACTCTTTTTACTTCTTTTATAGCAATCAAATCATGTGTAGCTTCATGATTAATTAAAGTTTATACATATTCTTCATACAATTCAAACATTCTTTTAAGGTGAACGTTCCTTTAGCTTTATGTGGGATCAGATAATTATGGTAAAGTTAGCGAAGCGATTAGACTTTGAATTCAATCCGGTTAAAAAGATTGACTAAATTAGTGACTACCTCTAACATTAAGTCAATGAATTACCCGTCTCATCATCACAAATGCACACTTCTTCCATTTTTTGGACTGCTTTTGAATTTAACCCACTAAATGTGGGTTGTACATATATATGTGTGTATATCGACAAAGTCATGCTCTATATATATATATATATATATCTATTTGTTCTCAACCTCTATTTCTCATCATTTTCAAGGGTTGTAAGGAATTATTTGATGAGTCTTAAAAGGCTCAACTTTCGTTATTCATTTTAACTAAAAAAAAAAAAAAAACTTTCGTTATTCATGTGGGGCTCTCAACCCATTAGGAGAAATGGGTCTTGGTCAATTTGTCTCTAAACAGTGGGATGGAGGCATTTTGGTCAACTGAGATTTAAGAAGTGGATTCTTTTTAATGGGTTTAGGCTTGGGGCTAGACTGGACCTACTAATGGGCCTGGCCTACACTATTTCCATCTTCATGTTGTCAAATGAACACTACTAGGGCTCCATCAAGTGATCTTCATTACAAATTTTTATTTATTTATTTATTTTTAAATAAATAAATAAATAAGCAACGCCTCTCACTCATTTTGTCCCACTCAGACTGTCCAACTCTTTTTTAATAAGGTAGAGATCATATTACTAAGTCTGAAATCGGTGCCATCTACGTAACACTATTCAATTACTATTCAATTCAATCAATAACTGAGTCAGAAATCGGTGACATCTTCGTAACATTATTCAATCAATAATAACTTATAAGACAACTTCATGTTTGTTTTCAAAACTTCAACTTTTAGATAACATAAGTTTAGATTGTTTAATGCACTATATTTCTTTTAAATTTCAATCCAAATTCTCTATTTATATGGTCAAATTTCAATACTAATTCTCTATTTATATGGTCAAATTTCAATACTAATTCTCTATATTATTCCCAAATTTTTTTCATTGACTTTACACCCTTTAAAAAAAAAACGGATATTCAAAAGAAAAAGAAAAAACTTAACGTCTTTTCAATGGGAAAGCAAATAGAACATTATGTGACCAAATGTATATGCTCTGTTCACAAATCAGACTTACAATGTTGGTTTGAATAGCTTTACTAAAAATAAGTACAGATATTATTTTGACAGAAAATCCTTTGAAGTTAAAGTGACCTTACATTTCTTTCAACTCATCTCTTATGGAGTCAATGCAAACCCATACACCATTGACATGTCAAAAAGAGGACTTTTGGCTCTCATTCTGAACTGTGCTTGTACTTTTTTTTGTACCCAAATTTTTTAAAAAATATATATTTAAATGTCCATTAATTACGCAAATGTGGCATCACTTTTTTATTTTTCATTTATTCTCAATACTTGAAACTCTAATATGCTCAACTTGGAGACACACTCATTATCCCTGGGGTTAAAGTCTAATAACAAATGGGTACCAGGAAATAATTGGTCTGAGGCCAAATCTTATAATTTATTATACCGAATGGACATGGATGGCATGAAAAATATAGGTCCCATGTAAAATATAGGTTAAATTACACCGACCTCTCATTAGATTTAGATAAATTATATACGAATAAATCGTTTATAGTTTATTATTTTGATCTCTTTTGAAATTTCGTACGCAAGTATCTTAAACGACACCCTAATATTTTCTTTCTGACAGACTTGTTGATAAATTGTATAAAATGAAAGATTTAATATTTCTTTATACAATTTTATTATAATTATTGTCTTTTCACATTCAAAATCACTCTCCGGCAACCGGTGAATGAGTTTAGAAGAGGTCGAAGTAATAAACGCTGAATGATCAGAGTAATTTACCCTAATATACATAAACATATACAGTAAGGTCAGACCCTTGTAACATGTAGTATATACACATATACACACATCAAATGTTCACACACTGGATGGTCCAAAATGGAGTAGGCACATTGCTTCGATAATTATTGGGTTGGAGGGGACCATCACCATCCATGAATGAAGTGAGACTCAAAACACAGCAACAGTGACCTGTGCTTAAACTTCATGTTTCAGAGTACCATATAAAAACATGCCCTACATTGTGTTTTCTTTATGTCATCTACTTTTAGACATATTACAGTAAGTTCACCAGCTTTTTTTCTCTCAATATAACCAAAAGTGAAACATTGAATGTTTTATGAAAACAAAATCACATGCTTATTTCAAACAAGGTCACTTCTACCACTTTACCTCAAAAGAGAATCATATATGGTACTCATCTAGCTTAGCCCCTTTTTTTTTCATCCTATATATACCCCCCAAATAATATATAGAGAGAGAGAGAGAGACGGGTTGTTTAGAGCATTTTAATCGATAATTAAATGATTGGACCCACTGTTATTAAATAAATTTTGATTGATTATTTTACTTTATTTTTCTATGAAATTTAGCTTTTGAATGAATTTAGTCTGAATTATTTTTCCAGCAAGTACCCAGAATCTCTATCTGGCACATAATCTAATTTAATTATTTATTTATTGGTATATAAATACAGTATGTACACACGCATGGGGTGGTTTACTTGATGACTGCTAGATTTTATACTATCTTTTTTAGGTTGTTTGAATAATGATATGGTCTTGTAATTATAAAGCCCTAGCTTTTTCTTTCGCAAATCTCTATACGTTGTCCCCCTCCGGAAAGCAACCATGGCTTTAGCAGCCTTTTGGGGAATTTTAGCGTAGTTTAATTACTACTACTTTCATAATTATGGAAGAAACCGATAAG